TTGATGAATATGTCATATCCATGTTGTCTCCCCCTTTCAATTGTCAACCAGTCAGAATTGCAGTTCACTATATTTAGCCACCTTAAATTCTTCCTGTAACTTCCCCTGTCAAAGATTAGTCATAGATCAAAGTTTTTTTTTCTGTAAACAATTCATAAATTTAGACCACAATCAAAGTATTTATTTTCCTTCAGACACTTTCCAATCTTATAGCTGGCCCAGTATACAATCTCTTCTTTGTTTCCTAGCAACTGTCTCCTTAAAGGTTATTAGAGTTCATGAGAACAGATTTTTCTTTGTCTTTAATGTGCTATGTTCTAATTGTCCATTAGATGTCAGCAAATATTTGTTTTCCAGCCCTTTCAGACACGAAATTATTTTTATTAATTTTTTTATAATTTCATCAAATTGTAGTATTTTAAATTTAATTTCAATATGTTTCTTTCCTCCTTAAAGGTTAATTTGCCAGTTCCGTCCATGAGGGAATGAGAATATAGTTCCCTCCTCTCACTTTCGGAGGTTTTCTTGCTTTGGGGATCTTTCCCAGGGACTTAGTTGCAAAATAAAGGAGAGAAGATCAAATACTCTCACCAATTCCAAGCACGCTTTTCACCGTTGTTCTGGCTAGTGCTCTTGGATTTCGGCTGCAGATAGCTTGGGCTAGATCCTGGCATGTGGTTAGCCTTTCTCCTGTTGGGTCAGAGGGCTTCCCCTGGATCAAAACAGAACATCCGCCACCATTCCGTGATCAATGGGTGGCCCTCTTCCTTTGCCACCTCTCCGGGGCGACTTCAGATCCATTTAGGATCCCCTGACAGGACGAAAACAGTTCCGGGATGCGGAGCTTCGCAAACCCATGGCCATGTGCTATGGCACAAAAACCGGAAGTCTGGAAAATACATGTTTTGCATACAAACAGGCTATCTGAGCAAACTTTGGGCATTTCCACAGAGAACTGGAAGTGTCACCTGAAATTCTGGGGAATTGACATTGTGAACATTACTGAAAAGAATGGGCTACTGAAAAGGATGGGCTGATTTAGTGCTTATACAGCAGCTTCCTCTGTTCCTAACTTCATTGCAACCTTCATACATGTGAATCAATTGACAAGTGTCTGAATTTTGATCAGGTGATGATGAGGATGCTACAATGGTTGTCAGTGTGAAAAATGGTCATAACTCACTTTTTTCAGTGCTGGTGTAACTTCGAATGGTCATTAAATGAACTATTATAAGTCAAGGAGTAACTGTACTGTACCTGCCCCTGCTTATAACTTATTCCCTTTCTACTGTTATATAGAGGGAGGGTTATTGTATAAGAATTAACTTTCTTAATTGTAATGGCACAGATACTTATTCATATGGTACGTGTATGCCTCTAGCAGCCACACAGATACTTCTTACACAAAACACTACAGAAGAACACAAATACACACATTCCCCTCCTTCCTTCTAGCAGAAACGGGGACAGGGAATCTATTAGACTGGAGATAGTGTTCTGAGCAGCTCAGAAGGCAAGAGAGGGCAATCAGGAAGACATAATGAAGAAAGGAAGGAAGGAAGGAAGGAAGGAAGGAAGGAAGGAAGGAAGGAAGGAAGGAAGGAAGGAAGGAAAAGGAGTCAATATCAGTCCTTAATATGAGTTAAAAAAATCACCAAATAGCCACTCGCCAAGCGCTTCTCAACAGAATGGCCACTAGTAGTTTCCACCTGCTGATCATTTATTTACAACATCATCTTCTATGCTTTTTCTTATCAAATGTAAGGTCAACTACTTGGGGATGAAGAAAGAGAGAAGATGGTCTCTAACCTTGGTATTTTCAAAATAAAAATTTCTAGCCGTTTCCATTATTCAAACTACTCCACATTCAATACATCATTTTGCTTCAGCCCAGTCTTGTAACTAACTAAAATCCACCACTTAGCCCAAAACTTCCATTGCTAAGCAAATCTGTTGTTTGCCCAATTTTATGATTTTTCTTGCCAACAATCCCTGAGGTTAAGTTAGTAACATGCTTGTTAAGTGAATCTGGCGTCTGCATTTTCTTTGCTTGTCAGAAAGCCGCAACAGGTCATCACACCATGCCAGGCACGGCAACCATCATAAATACATGCCAGTTGCCAAGCATCTGCATTCTGGTCACATGACCATGAGGATGCTGCTACAGTTGTTAAGTGTAAAAAACAGTCATAAGTCACTTTTTCCAATGCCACTGTAACTTCCAACAGTCACTAAGCAAATGGTTATAACTTGAAGACTACCTGTAGTTTTTTTTCATTCTCATGCGGGCTGACAGACAATGGTTTGAGTCAGGTCATTGAAGGATTAGTTAGAGCAGAAGCACATCAGATCAGGATTTTACAAATTTACAATGGCATTGTCATGGTTCCGATAGATGAAACCAATTAAAAGAGCTTCAAGGCAAAAATTTCTTCCTTAAAGAACATTTTACTCAGGAAACAAAGTATCGGCACTTACATAGTTGAACTCAAGACTAAAGTTCCCTCCCACCTGCAACAAAGTAACAAGTTGCAATTCCCACCCCAGAAAGTCTGTCATAAATCACATTCATCAATAATTCTAAACTGGCACACCTCCCAACTTTTCAACCCGCCAAAACTTTTTCTAACATTGACCTTGATTCTCACACAGTTGCAATTGTTATGACTAACTAAAATAGCTCAAGCATTCCCACTTCCCTCATTCTATATCTGAAAATACCAAACAACAGAAAAAAGCATAATAAAAGCAAAAGATAAAATGGCTATGGTTTCTCAGTTGCTGACAAGCAGTGATTTAAATTGCTGACAATTGTTTTAGATAAATTCTTAATGATCTCTGAATAAAAGGACATATACCTCATTAAATATTACTTCTGTAAGATTCTACAGTACTTCATCAATCAAGCAATCATTTATTTTTATTCCACTTTTATCATTTTTACAAATAACTGAAGGCAGAAAACATATATAATACTCTTTCCTCCTCCTACTTTCTCCATAACAACCACCCTGTGAGGTGGGTTGGCTGAGAGAGAGAGTAACTGGCCCAAAGTCACCCAGCTAGATTTCATACTTGAGGCCGGACTAAAAATCCCATGATTAAGATTTCTAAATGTCATAACCAATAATAAACTGACATGTACATACATTCATAGTACTATTTGAGCTTGGAAAAGAGGAAGAAGCCTCATTTTTATAGGAAAAGATTCATAATCAAGATTTGAAAGAAATCAACAAAGATACCAAGATTGCAATTCTATGCTTCCAAGCATAGAAACAAATCCACCAACTTTAGAGTAAAAGTGCATAGGATTACGCTGCCAGGATTTAAACAGCACAATGTCTGCAATCTGATACTGAAAATAGTAAAAAATATTCACCAATCACCAAAAGCATATTATTCCAGTAAATTTAAGACTGATTTAAACATATCCAGAGACTAAGGTTGCTTTTTTATAATCCACGATCACTGTTTATCTTTGTTCAGATTTAGTTTTCAAGACTGAAATGAGTCCCTGTGAAATCAAGAATATACATAAAAGGGAGAGAACATAAAACTAGGCTTCTCCCCCTTGCAGAGATTATTGGGGAGAGATCATCAAAAGCAGCCAATTTTGCAAGCTATAGTATTTCAAGAGAAATCGACTTCAGGCAAAGAAATACCCTTTTACTTCCCCTCTGACTAGTGAAAAAAAGTGGCTGTCTTCAAAATGAAATTCAGATTTCAGAATGATACAAAGTAAGCAGGTTCATCCTTCCATTAAAATGTGATTTTAAACTTTTTCATCAATTTCCAATTATTGCTTTTTCTTCAATTTCCAATGGTAAGGTTTTATTTTGTAAAGCCCTGATAATGTGAGGTGTTCAGTCAATAAGTCTTGTCCTACTCTTAGTGACCCTATGGACATGGCATGCCAGGCCTCTTCTCCTCTGTTTCCCAGAGTTTGCCCAAATACACCTTAATTGCATTGATGACATTATCTAATCAGAGGGGGTGGGTATTGTAACAGAAATTCATGTTATCATTTAAAGGGATTATGTATTTGCAGAGTTTGAGAAATCTTCCTTTCCTTGAATTTATCACTTGAACATCACACTTTTTAAAAGGTTTTCTCAAGGAAATTCACAAATTCCAGTAAATAAAAAAATTACTTCCTTCTTAAGAGTCACAAAGACATAATGGGAAATAACAATGGCTAAAACAGAAGGCTTCAGATGACATGTGTCAGGAAAGTCCAGGCTAGAGCTTCAAATTATTAGGATAACAAGAACACCTTGTTATTAAAGTGAAAGCTATTATTTTAATCATAGTGAATAATTTAATCAAGGACGCAAGCAGAAGCAGGAAAACGGAAGAGAAACGGAGTCTCAGCTTAAGTCCAAACAAAACAAGTCATCGGGCCCTGCATTCTCTCTTCCCTCTTCAGACTAAGTCAGAATACACGCCTCGCATTTCCGCAACAAAAACGCCCGGCGCGTTCGTCAAATGAGGACGGGGACCGCGGAGCTCCTCTTTGGAACAAGACCTCCCCTCTCCGCCCCTACGGACTAACGCGGCCATAACTTGTGTAAGCACGTGGATAAGGCTGTCTTTCTTCCGCCGCTTCTCGCAAGCAAAGGCAGTCTTATGGATTTTGCTCATTAGTAAGCTCCCTGTGTTGAGCGGAGCCCGCTCGGCCAAGCGCACACGGCCAGTCTGAACACAACTTTCAAGCGTGGCTCGCTTGGGATGGCGTTCTTATTGAATTCAGCGGCGCTCACTTAGCAGAAACTGCCATTGAATTGTGAAGGTCAAGCGCCCCTTTTCTTTTCAGACCCAGATGATTTATAACACGGATCTCATGAAGCAGAGTCGGAACTAGCCCGGGTTTTTGTTACACAGCCGCCTCGGGAGAACATGGCCTCCTCTTCCGTTTCTCTTCTCCGAAAACTATAGCGAACGCCTCAGTCCACGAACGCCCCGTTCCCCAACTCGGCTTCTCAGCCAGCTCTACTCACAGCTCGGGCGCCCTCTTCGCCCTGCTCTGCGTCTCCTCGATGCGGCAGGCGCCCTTTGGGACCCCAAACGATTTGTCTTTGGGACGCCAAGCGGCCTTTGAGTAACCAAACGTCACTACTGAAGTGACGTTAAGCTTGGGAGCCGCCCAGCTCCCAAATAACTTGGAGTGCATTCGATGGACGAGAGAAAGACCAGCAAAGTATTATTATTTGGGGGGGGGGGGAAATGGGAGGAGATATACTGTAATTATATTTGTAATTACATCCGTGTTGAAGTATGTTGGTAGTAGTTTATCTCAATTCTATAACCGGAATACGTGAATAAGCTCCTTTATACCTCTGATAGTTTTAGACCTTTCAGTTTAGGAGGGGGGTGGATAAGACTAAGTGGAGTTATCATTACAGCTCCCCTCGACTGTGATGCCCTAAAGAAAAGCTTTTTCTTCACAAGATGTATCTCCTTGTTTGCTTGGATGTCCTGCTTCTTCTATCATGCATCCATAGAAGTTAACAACCTACAGTACTATGAAATTGTATCACAAACTTCGTTTAAAAAGACAGATATTTAAAAGGAACAAAAATAAAAGTCATAACTTAAATGTTCTCTGGTCATATTGGTAGAGATTGGTGCCATTTAATTGTGATTAATTCTTTTATTCATTTTAGGTATTTTGTTATAAATATTTGCATTACATTACACTAGACAGTACTTTTTACATTAAGCAGTCTTCTAACTTTTCTTTATGTAATAATGAGTACTCATTTTCTGTTATAAAATATAAAATTCTGCCAGTTCCATAAAATAAGAGTTCCCAACTTCTTTTTTTAAACATTTTAATTTTTAGACTTTTATTAGGTAGAATGGTGACCAAAATTTAACTTTATCAAGCTATTTTTCAAGAAAAAGATTACACACTTCCATTGTTAATTTTTGTGGTAATTATTTCTGATGGTATAGCTTTTAATACATGATAAACTGAAGCAAAAGATTGTGAACTGACTGAAAAAAGTTTGTTTTTTGATTATAATATACAACATATTTCAGAAAAAAGCTAGCATAAGTACAGGTCTTCAACTTACAAAAGTTCATTTAGTGACTGTTCAAAGTTACAACGGCACTGAAAAAAAGTGATTTATGACCATTTTTATCACAACTGTTCAGCATCCCCTTGGTCACATGATCAAATTTTGAATGCTTCGTAACTGGTTCATATTTATGACAGTTGCTCTGTCCATATTACTTTCTGACATGCAAAGTCAATGGGGAAGCCAGATTCACTTAACAACCATGTTACTAACTTAACAAATGTGGCAAGTAGATTGTAAAGTGTTTTATTTAGCAACGTACATTTTGGGCTCAATTGTAGTTGTAAGTTGAGGATTCCCTATAGCAGGGGTAGGCAACCCAAAACACTCAAAGAGCCACTTGGACCCGTTTCCCACCAAAAACAAAACACTGGGAGCCGCAAAACCCTTTTGATATCTAAAATGAAGATAACACTGCATATATCCTTTTTTACCTTTATTATAGGTGTGTGTATGTGTATATGTGTGTATACACACACACACACACACACACACACACATATACACATTAAAAATAAAAGTAAAAATATGACTCTTGGGAATATCCATACTATTAAAAAAATGATCACCAAGAGAATGCTTTAAGAGAATAAAATTACATACACACACAGGTAAAAAAAGGATATATGCAGTGTTATCTTCATTTTAGATGTCAAAAGGGTCTCTCTCTCCCTCCCTCTCTATCTGCCCTTGGTCTGCCACTCCTCTTCCCCCACTCTCTCTCTCCCTCTCTCTCTCTCTCTCTTTCTCCCCCCCCCTCCTATCTGCTGCTCACCTGGCAAGCTTCAAGCTGTTGTCCAACAACCTCCGGGGTAAGCAACCTCATCTCTTTTATGACTCATGGACTTCAACTCCCAGAATTCCTGAGTCAGCCTAGCTGGGCTAGCTAGTTTTCTCCTGCCCTTCCTGCTTCCTTCAGAGACGCAGCAAAGGGAGGAGCTCCGCCCAGAAAGCTTTTCAGCTCCTCGGAGAACACTGTGAGTGCACTCTCTTTTACACACACACACACACACACACACAGAGAGAGAGAGAGAGAGAGAGAGAGAGAGAGAGAGAGAGAGAAGCAGGGAAATGCAATTGCCTCTCTCTGCAAAGGCAGAGGAGGCTGGGAGCCACAGGGGAAGGCTCAAAGAGCCGCATGCGGCTCCGGAGCCGCAGGTTGCCGACCTGTGCCCTATAGGAATTTACAACTTGGTAAGTAGGACCACAATGAAAATGCACTGACCTTCTGAATTGATGCAGCTCACAATGTGGACAGGCCATAGGCTAGTCAGCATAACTAAAATCACATACTATTTGACAGCAGCCTACAAAATACAGAGTATAAATTCTTGTTGATTTTCAGCATTAAGCAAAACAGGAAGATGATTAGGCTAGGCTTCAGACTTTTCAGGAGTAAAATAAAACTCAACCTTCCTTCCAAGCATTACCCCCTGAAAATCCCAGGCCTTTCTTTGCATGATGTCTTCTTCAGAAAGGCCTATTTGTCTCTCTGTGATCATTTTTGATATCTCACGGACAGTTTTCTTTTCTGACTTGCCAGACTGGTTGTTCTGATGAGGTTCCAAAGAAACTGCTTGTTAACTTACCAATTTTTGTATGTGATTTGCATGTTAATGTTTCCTGTAAGTCACCTTATTTATTTTTTTAAATATAAAGATAAAGTGGAATCAAGTTGTGGAAAGCCCACTGCTCTACAAATTATAGCCTGGTCTGTCGCTAAAAGAAAATCTTCATCTTCCATTAAAAGATTATTCTTTTACTTCGTGAATGCTTATTTTGCTGGCTTTAAGATGACATAATTATATAACTTACCTTTCCAAATGTTTTTATATTACTATAGGAAATTGCTGACAAAGATGGGAATAATAAAATTTTATCTTTTACTATCCCTTCCTTATCAAAACCTTCAATTTACCATGAGGTAAGAATACAATCGTATTCTTAGACTTCTGATAAGAAAGTAGGTTGAGTGTAACAGTTGTTTCTAAGAGAAAGCTGTCAGCTGATATTAAATTGGACTTTTTAAACTGTGTACAATAATTAGACCTTCCTTCTTGTTAGACTTTATTTGTGGTGTCTTGAAATTATGCCTAAATAATATTGTCACTATTTTATAATCCCTAAGCCCTCTACAATTGGATCCAGGGCTTTGACTGAGGGAGCCCTGTGTCAGCATGACCTCATCAGAGTCGTTTATAGTGACCTTCATCCTCAAAGAGAAACATTCACTGCACAAAACAGGTAAGCGACTGATGTAGTATATCTTACCATAACAGTCCAAATATCTTAAAAGAAAAATGTTTCTTGACTTCGAAGTGTGAGATAGTTGAATAGAGCAGGAAATATTAGCTTTGTCTATTGGGTAGTCTAACGGGTGCCTTCCAAACTCTTTAATAACCTGAATTTATAGGCACTTTTGAAATATAGGTAGTCCTCGACCTACGAGGGAAATTGAGCCCAACATTTCTGTTGTTCAGCATGACATTTGTTAACTGAGTTTGCCCCATTTTACGACCTTTCTTGCTACAGTTGTTAAGTGAAGCACTGCAGTTGTTAAGTTAGTAGTAAGATTATTAAATTAATCTGGCTTCTTCATTGACTTTGCTTGTCAGGTGGTCACATTACCCTGGGACACTGCGGCCATCATAGATATGAACCAGTTACCAAGCATCTGAATTTTGCTCACATGATCACAGTGATGCTGCAAAGGTTGTAAGTGTGAAAAACGGTTGTCACTTTTTTCAGTGTCGTAACTTTGAACAGTCACTAAATGAACTGTTGTAAGTTGAGGACCACTTGTGGTCATGGTCTTACTAAACTCAGGTTTCCGTTTTGTACATCATTGTGAATTCATTAACTGAACTCAAATTGTATTACTTTTGTTTGTATTTTGTATAAAGGAATTGGAGGCTATTTGTGTTTTTACTTTAATATTTTTTGCAATTTTAATTATCGACACAGACAAATAACAGAAAAATATGGATTACACATGGTAAGGCAAGACAGAGAAATAAAAAGATAATGAAGTAAAATAAATCAACAAAAGATAAGCTGACATTTAGTATGTAGTACCTGAGAACTCTAAACCACTAATCTCCTGATAGCACGAGTAGTTGCAAGAACCTGAATACCATATTAAATACTTCAGGAGACACATGAACTAAATGAAAGCAAGTTCTCTCTTTCTTGTTCAGTCAGAACAATTTATATAGCAGAGTTATTATTTCATGTGTGCACCAAACAATGTAAAAAGGGCAGGGTAAATAAATGTTAGTAATCGACTCAATATTCCTCATTTGATAGGGGCATAGTATCCCCTGTAATACCACAGAAGATAGAGAATTAACCCAGGAAAAACCTCTTTAATCAGAATCACTTGACTATTCAGTTCTGCACATCCCCGTGTAAAAAGGACGATGATAAACTGAAGCTTGTCCAGAGAAGAACGGTCAAGAAGGTGAAAAAATTGAAAATCAAGTCCTTAGAATAGCGGTTCCCAACCTTTTCTATACCCCGCATTCCTGGAACGCTTCTGATATACTCTTGCACCCTTATAAAAGTAATACCTGGTCTGAAGATGATGAAACGGAATATATACTCAATTTGAGCAACAAACTTATTTAAACAAATTGTGAATGGCGTGAACTAAAAAAATAAGAAAAAAGTTATACAAATTCAAATACGTGCAAACAGTCAATTTGAATTTAATGACCTTTTTGCTCCTGCTTCTTTATGATTTTGTCAAAACGTGGCACTTTGTTGCTGATAGTGTTCTCAAGTCTGCTTGTGAGTTCAGGCGATTTCTCAATTTTGTCTTGATTGACAAGAGAACTGAATCCTGCCTCACATAAATATGTTGTCGAAAATGGGATAAGGACACCCAGTGCTTTTTCACAAAGTCTTGGAAACCCATCTACTGCTGAACACCAATACTCCTCCAAAGTGTTGCTTTCAAATTTCATTTTAAGATCTGACTTGTCCGCAAATCAAGATCTTCCTTCAGCTTATCATCATCTGACATTTTCTCCAAATTGTAGGAATATGGATCATTCTTCAGAAATCTTCAGGTCTCCAGCAGCAAAATATCTATCAAACGATTCTGACAGCATTTCCAAATGAGCCACGATTTCTTCATGCACAATTGGAATCATAGATCCATGAACATTGACCATTTTTTCAAGTAAGGGAAAATTTGAAAAATTACTTCTTTCCACCCATTGCTACCAAAGAAGAAACTTTTCTTTGAAAGCATTCAACTTTTCGCAACATGTCAATCCAAATACTAAAATGGCACTGATTCAAGTATGTATGGGGCAGGATAATGGAGCATCTTCTGGAACATAGTAAATCATCTGAGATTAGTCCTTCAGGAGGATTTTATACCGTTGTGCTTCCAAAGCTCTATCCCACCTTCTGAAAAACAGGGCCTGGAGAGTTCTTAAGTGGGATAAATTCATCATTTTCTATATAAACATTCAGCAAATACGAAGTTTGTAATTTATAATTGAAGGTAGATCACATAGCAACGGTCGTCATCAATGTCCATTTCCTTTGGGGCTTTCCAGACTTCCCTTTGTAACTCATTTGGCTTTTGCCTGGGCAGAGTCAAGGCTGGGAAAGGAAGGACGCAAACAGTGAGATCCAGGAAAATGGAGCCTCTTCTCTTGGCTTACTGAGACACCAAACTTGCTTGCTACCTCAATTCTGGCTCCTGAAAAATTAACTGGAGTTGCGAAGTTTAAAATGCACCAAAACTTCAAGTCCTTTTCCCGAATTCATTCATTAGAAGCAGCCGCGATACTAAAACACGCAGGGAACGCTCAGGACCAACGGACCCTCTGCGATTAAGTGCTCAGAAAACTCCTGTCTGGGCACAACAGAGCGATTTTCTCTTTAAAAAGCTCACGAAATTCTGGTGCTCAGTTTACATTTTGAATTTCCAGCTTGGACCCCTCCAGGATTGACACAGCTTTGCTCCTCCTCTTGCAGCGACCTGGTGGGAAATGAGCTTGTTTGTATCAGTGGCTGGGAATGCGCTGTCCCCACCCCTGTGAATGTTTTATCCCCGACCTGGTCAGCAGGTTTAAAACAGTTATAGTGAGGCCAGAAATCGTTCCCTGCCCTTCCCTCTTTCACAGCAGTTACGTTTTTAAAGAGGGTGTAAATATAAAGGAGGAAGCTGCCTCGACATCTATTTTTTCATCTTCCGGATAGTTGCATCACATACACTAAATGGGTAAAGGAGTCCACTTGCGGTCTTAAAGAGGTGAGGGGTATGGAAAAGAGATAGTTGGGTGACCGAAGGGGCGGGGAGAGACCCTCATGTGGCCGAGATCTGCTGCTGCTGGGCGGGGGAAGGGAAGCGATGTGGATCCTCTCCTTTCGCTTGCAAACTGGAAAAGATGAGCGGACGGCGGAAATCAACGCATAATATTGTGGGGGCCCTACTCCCACTCCTGATTTCTGAGTGCTTTTTTAAAAAAAAATTCCCCAGAGAGCTGTTTTCCCTCCCCCCAATATACAACTGATTAAAAGTAAAAGTCACATGTAAAATCCATGTGACTTTTCCAAATCAAAATATTTTATACACTTTAGCCCGAGATTAGATACTGATACAATTTTTATGGTACTGAATTAGGGAGAAATATGACCGAGGTGATAATTAGGTACTAACCCATTAGGTGCTAAAACTAAACTTTCGTTCTGCTCTCGAATCTCTATCCCTTTTAAAAACCTTATCTTGACTCCAGCCTGAAGAGTTGAGGAATGAAGGGAGCAAAAAATTAATATCTTTCTGCCGCTTTCCCCCCTGAACTAAAGGGGGAAAAAAAGTCATCTCTAAAAGTTGTGCAACAAAATGAAGGAACCTGGGTCTTTGCAAGCTTTAGCTCTCCTGAGCACCCTGTAGAGTCCAGCTAGGACTTAAATGCTAGATTGTAGATCGCCCTCTACAGGCAGTCAGCCAGACAGCTAAAGCCTGCCAAGAGTGTCCTCCATTTTGCTGAACAACTTTTACACATGCCTTTTTTTTTAGAGATGACTTTTTTCAAAGTTGTTGGCGAAACAAAGGGAAACAAAATGTCACTTGAACCAGACAAAAGAAGTTGGCCCTGAGCACATGAAACACTTCCTCCCACCAACTCCCATCAACAGCTGCCAGACTGTTAACGAGGCAAGAGTAGCTGCCAGTCTTGTGAATCAAAAAGCAAAGACTGGGGGATAAAAAGGATCCTGAAGTCTGCCCACTCTTTGCAGTCTTTAGTTGCAGACTTGATTGCTCTAGCTGGTACCTGGCAGCCTAGTTGAGAAGGATGTGTATAAGTGTGAATGTTTGTGTGTGTGTGGGGGGGGGGGAATAGCAGGTAGTCCTCAACTTATAACAGTTCATTTAGTAACCCTTCAACATTACAGTGGCGCTGAAAAAAATGACTTAACGACTATTTTTCACACTTATGACTGTTGTAGCATCCCCATAGTCATATGATCAAAATTCAACCGCTTGGCAACTGGCTCATATTTATGACAGTTGCAGTGTTCCGGTGTCTCTTGATCATCTTTTGCCACTTTCTGACAAAGTGAATGGGAAGCCAGATTCACTTAACAACTGTGTTGCTAACTTAACTGCAGTAATTCATTTACCAACTGTGGCAAGAAATGTCATAAAATGGGGCAAAATTCACTTAACAACTGTCTCACTTAGCAACAGAAATTTTAGACTGAATTGCAGTCATAAATTGAGGACTACCTGTAGCTCCCCGAAGGAGACAGACAAGATTCCTGATTTTGTCCACCCTGCTTATATGTCTGTTTCTTCTTTAGCTATAAAGCTGCTTCAGCCTGGTCCTACAGTAACAAGTTTCCAGCAACAAATAAATCACTCCTTCTCACTAGGTCTAAAACTAATTACTGAAATAATATCAATCAAACAATTAACAAAATAATTAATTTACATTTAAAAAGGAAAGATTTCCCCAAGAATATCTATAAATATATAAGATTGTGATAGTCTGTCCAGCTTAAATAGAGAGTGGAATAAACAGACTGGAGAGGCCAGACTCCCCTTAAGTTCCTTGAAGGCTTTATCTGACTGTTCCCAAAAGAATGCAGTTAGTCTGGTGAGATTCTTGTAAATAAGTAAACAACAGTAAAGAAACTACTTTGATCAGTTCACATTGTCATTCTGGTTCTTTGCATCTGACAAAGACTGAAATGTTCCTGACTAGCTTCCACAGAAAAAAAAGTATTAACCAGCACCAAATATGCAAAGTAATTGAAACAATTTTTAAAATACAAATGCACAATACGCATATCTCAAGATACAGAGATGAAATACATACATACTTGTATATTAGACAAAATTACTAGTATAGTATTACTAATTATTATAACTATTATAATACTCTCCAGGTTAATATTTAGTACTGTATATACGCTACAGAGCTCAGAAGCCCCCCCCAATTTCTAGCCTCATTTTTCAGTGCAATTTCTGCAAGAAGATTCTTCCAACCAAGCACTGATACTTCTTTACTTGTGGCTCAAAACATTTACACTGTACTTTACTCATTACCCATTAGTTTTGATTATACTTGCATGCTGAGACAATTATGTTGCCTCGCAACAATCCATCTTGGATTTTGTTTGAACCTATATTCATAAGCAAGACAGAAAATAATATACTTTTCTGAGGGAAGCTTTGAGAAAGATCATGACAAGTTATTTAAATAAGGCACATATTCAATGGTATCGATGATGTACAATAAGATCTTAAGTAATACATTGTAGGAATAGCTATTTATTCTTACTAGTTCTTTCTTTTCCAAGATCAGCAATTCTCTGAATTACTTAAGTTTAAAAATACAAAATGTTCCTGAATACTATTGCGATGCTGTGCTTGACTCTCCAAGAAAATCTGATAAATCTCAGAAAAGCTTCTCAAAGGCCTTTACTTGTCCGTCAGGAAAAGTTTTTTCCTCAGGGTGTGCTTCAATGAGAGTAAGTACTGTTCTGCAGGATTAATCCTATTCCATTCATAAACTCTGTTGTTCAGCTCCAAAAAAATATCCAACAGAGGCAGCTTTCTGCATAGAAAAAGGGGAAATGAGGGAGAAAAAAATATCTTAAACATAAGATTATATAACTTTTATAAATAGGTAAAAGCTGCAGGTGAACAGCTCCATATTTTGCAAAACTGCCCAGTTCTGTTCTTTAGCTAAAGGTTATTCAACTATCTTAAGGCACACTTGGACTATGCAGTATTTGGGGTGTTTGAGCATGCACAGATGCAAACACGGCATCTCCTTGCAAGGGACTTTACTTCCAAGTACCATAAATGCCGGCGTACAAGGCGACCCGGCGTATAAGACGACCCCCATCTTTATAGCCAGGCCGCATTCCTAGAACGTCGTCTTATACGCCGGAAACTACCAGTATTTCCGGCGTATAAGACGACTCAGCGTATAAGACGACCCCCGTCTTTGGCGCCGATTTCAGCGCTCGCGGAAGTCGCCTTATACGCCGGCATTTACGGTAAATATCTTTAAGAGAACTTGAGGCTTTGTGTTATGTTTCACATGGCTTCTCCCAAGTAAGCAACACTCCTTGTATTACCTGGAGGACGTAACAGAGTAACATTTATTTTTTGAGGAATTCTTCAAGACGTTTTCCCTGTTCTATACATGGGACAAGAAAGATGTGTTTGTATCAATGTTTCCATCGCTTGTCTGAAATAGAGGCCTTATGTGTTTATGGCAAGCAGTGGCTCCAAGTCCTCCAGTTCCCTTCTATAAAGTAATGTATATGGAGGACATTGCTCAGTTACAGGGAAACCACTACATTTCTATAGTGTACTTTGACACGTGTCAAAACTGTCCCACTTCTGTCTCTTCCTGCAGGGACCAATATCAATGCTGTACTTTATTGCTGTAAACAAGCATTGGCAGAATGCTTTTTTTCATATTCCTATCTATTTTCCATTCTCCCATGGAATAGCATGAACTCCTGCGTGGCTAGTATCTGACATAAACACCTACCTACCTTTTCTGAGGATCCATCAGAAGGTTAGCCAAAGTGGAAAGATAATAGGATGATGAGCATGGGGATCTCTCCAGTGCAGAGGCATCCAATGTGCAGTGGCTCCAGAGAATGTCTGCTACTTGTGGGATTGTGCATAGATCTCCATCTGCTTCTGTCAGGCTGGCATTCCCTTGCCAATTTGGGGGCTCAATATAGTTCTGGATAAAAAAGAGCTTTGGTTTCCCTAAGAGATCAGGGCACCTCTCACCGGTAAAGAAATCCTTCAGCCTTTCCAGTTGAAATCCTGGGACACTATGGTCTGTGCAGAATATATGTTGATGGTCCCCTCGACTGACAAGCACACAAACAAAACAATCTGCATCTTTGTGAGCTCTTAACCTTGCTACCTCATGCAAATCATGCATCACTGCATGCATATTCAGAAACCGTCGACAGTGAACTTCAAAATGTAGTGATTTAAAGGCTTTCGTCAACAAATCTACAGAAAAAGAAGCAGGAGCAAGAATACCGGTCAGTAGGTTAGAGTCTAGGCTGAGGAAGGGTGACTGTTTTAAGATCCAGTTGTTGACCTTTATTGGCCTCCTGCCTGTCTTAATTACAAGCTAGCAGACATTTTTAGCTGTAGTCACTTGCTAAATTTATTTCATCATCTTCCCCATATATATATTCTTGATATTGTTCTATCCTGAGGGCTCACTATCTCTTACATTGCCCTTGATTACACCTCAACCTGTTCATATTACATTTTCTTACTTTATATTCTGCTTTTTCCTTAGAGTACCTGTACAAAAACCTTTTTGAGAGGGAAGATTGCAATTTCATTGAGCCAGTTTGGTCTAATGGTTAAGGCCTATGGCTAGAAACCAGGAGACTGTGAGTTCTAGTTCTCTATTAGGCGTGAAAGCCGGCTAGGTGACTTTGGGCCAGTCATTCTCTCTCAGCACAACCCACCTCAAGGGTTGCATTGTAGAGAAAATAGGAGGAGGAAAGGAAAGAGTATTAGGTATGTTCGTCGTCGTTTTTTTTTTTTTTTAAAAAAAGGGCAGGATAAAAATAAATAAAACAAAATATAAACACTTTGTTTTGTGGTATGGTAATTTATATTGTGTGAATAACTCTAAAGTTCAGATTTTTTTAAAAAATATCTCCCCATATTTTTTCTTTTCTGCCTTCTCCCCTCATGCCAAAATTTTCTCTAACTTATCCTCTTAGGAAAAGTCTGTGTTACTCAGTGTAAGATTGTGTAAATAACCATAATTGGGGGCTATGGCAATCTAACCTCTGGCAATAAAATTTAGGAAGACTGGTGAGATCATTCTTATAATTAATGTCCCTAATTTATACCATTATCATTAATTTGGCTTTCACAAAGGTTAACTGATCTACATATTCAGGAGAAAGGGCAAGACTACAGAATTCCTCCATATCGATTTGATACCAATGAGACTGGCAGCTGTCTCTCAGCAGCAGAGGATCAAGACCTATAAGGAAAACCAAATGTTCCCCCCAAAAATGTATTTCGCACACTCTACTACTTATTTTTAGATACCATGCTATTGTGAAAAATTATGCGTACCAAAATGATATAAGAGTACATGCCTGCCCAAATGAACGTAGTGTACCAATTAATGTCTGCCAGGAAGGAGCAACTTGATTTCCATTTCACTTACCTGCATCATTGCCAATGCAGTCAATAATCAGGCAGACTCCTAAAGGTTTGCTTTGCATTCTGTACTTGTTACAGCCCTGCAAAAACAACATCATGAATGAAGCCTCTTACTTTAAAATCATCAGCATAGCACACTTCCCATCTTTGCATCATCTATTTAATTTTGCCTCTGTGCGGCAGAAAACGGTAAAGAATAACGGCTTCTCAGAGTCCTTTCTAAAACATGGGCCTTGGGAGAGCTGTGCAGTGCTTCAGATTCAAAGGCACAAAGGGTCTTTTTCTGTAGGGTCTGTCTGCCAAACTTTAAACCAAATAAGGACTTTTCCAGAATTACACTGCAGCTGTAGGGAGCAGACATAAAAGATGCAATGGCAGTCAAGAAGTTGCAGGGAGGTACTTGCACATTGTTCACACTAACCAAAAAGCAATCTTCTGCCTTTGCCTTTGAAGCACTGCACAATTTTTAACATTTTGCCTTGAACTAAGGCAGTGGTGGCGAACCTATGGCACGAGTGCCAGAGGCGGCACTTGGAGCCCTCTCTGTGGGCATGCACATTGTCACCCCAGCCCCCCTCCCCCCTCAGCCCCCTCCTCACCAACAACCCCCCCGGAAGAAAGTCACCCCCAGGCGCAGAGCAGCGCAGCCAAGCACATGGCAGCTGGGCAGCAGATGATGCTGCGTGGGGCGGGCGGAGGGCGTGGCCACCATGGTGCTGCAGGGCCACCTGGGCGATCTGTGGTGAGCCGTGGATGGCCCTGAGGGCAGGCAGAGCACGGGCAGAGCAGAGCGGGGATGGGCGGGTAGAGCGGAGACGGGCTGGGGCGGTTTTTGAGCACTCAGTCTCTAAGTTCGCCATCATTGAACTAGGGTATTCTGCGCAGGCTGCTTTCTTTGTGTAACTCTACCTGGGCTCAATACTATACTGATAAGTATACTAGGGCTTTCTAGAAATGTTACATGTACAAATAGACACATATTTTTGCATGTGTGTAAATACATAACTATAATTTGAGTCAGAAAGTTTCTCACTGGGAGTAATTTGGGTAGTGCCACAGGCCACACTCAAGTATGGTATGAAGTGTATGCAAACTTGGAATGAAGGGTTATAGATTGGACCCCAGCTGCCAAATACTCATAGACTGATATAAAAATTAATTGTCATGCAAAGCAAAAAACCAATTGCAGTAGGGAGCATAGAGAAACTTAAGGAGGCTGGATTTCTTATAATTGGCTTTCACGTTCTTCTGTGTTCATTGCTGCTTACAGCATGCCACTTTGCATGCCACTTTGTTTTCGCTTTCACTTTCCATAGTGGGGAACATGTTGCAATAGTTCCACTGTTTAAAAAGGCAAAGGAAATATAACTTAACTGTAATAAACCAAACAAGGCAGACACTGAAAGTGCAATCAGTTTCTGCCTAATGCTATAGCACTCTTTTAATTCCTAAAAAGCTTCCATGTTAAACAAAAAGATATGTACTGTTTATCGTAATTTTGCACAATACCTGTACTTCTGTTTCTGGAACGGATATGTGAATCTGTTCTGCTGTAGATATAATAAAAAAGTGTGTTAGTTGCATTCTGCCTACATTCTTCAGAGTAGGAAAGCTAGTGAAAACTCATGCAAGTTTATATAAAGTAACAATCCTCTCCAACCCGTTAGTCTGCATAAGCGTTAACTACAATGCCTTTCACACTGGTATCTACTGGACGTGCTAAATAGGAACCGGAATCGAAGTTCACATATTTAAATGACAGTAGGTTAGCAGCAAAGCTTTAGGATACAACATTTTTAACTAGCCAAATTATCTTGCCAACTCTAACTTTGTCAGATGAAAATAAAACACCCAAGAAAGCATGAGTGACCGAAAGGCTGACATATGGCTCTTTTTTTTTTTTTTTTTTTATTGAAAATTTTTACATTTTACAAAAACAAATCCCCTTCCCATACCCCCCCCTACCTCACCCCCCCCCTTCCCAACCTCCCAAACCCTCCCCTGGACTTCCCAGAGCTGAGTACAGGCTTAATTAAAAAAAAAAAAAAACTTAAAACACTTTTAAAACCTAAACAAATTTAAATACAATCATCATTCTATATAAGCTCCCTCCAAAAACACAAATTTAAACATTACTTTCTTTGAATATCTATATCTATAATATAAAATCTAATTTCTCCCTCTTTCTTTATCCTAAAACGAAAAAATAAACATACAAATCTTTGTTATACCATTAAAGCTAAATACTCTTAAAGAACTTAAAGTAAGTACATATTTCCTTCAATCTTCATAATCTTCTCTCCTATCCAAAAAGAAAAAAAAAAAAAAAACAAAAACTTAAAAAACCTATAAGTCCTAAACAAATCTAAGCACATTTAATTAAACAAATTATTTTGTCTTAAAAATATTAATAATAATATTTAAAAACTAAAAACACTTTTAAATCCTAAACAAATCTAAATACAATCATCACTCTATATAAACTCCCTCCAAAACCACAAATTTTTAAAATTTAAAACATTAGAATCCACTCACTAAAATAAGCAAATTATAATCCCTTCAAAACACAAATTTAAACAATATTATCATTAAAGGTTCAAAACTTAAAACAACAAAGTTAATAAACACATTAAACATTTCAATCTTCACCAATAACTAATTCCATCCGTAAAAAACTACATCCTTATCAATCTCAATTATATTAGTATTATTAATTATTCACATTCCAGTTTTTTCCATTCTCCATTCTTCCATTCTTCCATTTCCCTTCTCCATTCTTGTATCAAACTCGTAAGAAATGCTGCAAGTTCTGCCTTAGGAGACTGCTCCAAAATTCCTGAATCTCCCATCGACTCCGAAGCCAATAAGGGTTCCTTAAATTCCTCCTTGTATTGATCTTTACAATTGTAAGTTGTACAAGTTATCCTCTGCCCGTTCCTCTCTTGTTGATGCCCCTCAGACTGAGATTTCCCAGTTTCCATTTCAGGCAACAATTCCACCCTTAAAGATTGCTCCAAAGACTTTGTAGGTCTAACATCTCCCAGAGATTCAGAAACCACTAAATATGAAACTTCCTTAACCTTCTTCTGTTGCTGCTTTTCTTTGGGATTATATACTGCACAAGTTGTCTTCTGCTCCTCAACCTGGACTTGTTGAGGCCTCTCACACAAAGATTCTCCAGTTTTCATAAATATAGGCTCTTCAAACTGTGATTCTACATTCTTTTCTTCCAAAGCTTTAAACTTAATTGATGGCGATGCACATACCCCCAGGACCGAAGTATAAAAATCTTTTGCTTGAGAAACAGTATTAAGTCTATAACATGTCCCCAGGTAATTCACCACCATTCCAATCGGAACATCCCATCTGAATGAAATTTTTCTCTTTTTAAGTTCATTTGCTAAAAAAGCAAACTCCTTTCTTCTTCTTAAAATTTTAGATGGGATCTCTTTAAAAATTATAACATCTTGTGAAGCAATTTGAAATCTCTTCTTATAATAGGCTTGCACAATTTCATTGCGTAAAGATCTTTTACCAAAGTAAATTACCACATCTCTTGGCAGATTCTTCTGTGCTGCCACCACAGAGTTAACCCTAAATAATTTTTCAATTTCATTAAGTATTCCCTCTTTTTCTTTATTCAAAATCAATGCAAAGTCCTTTGCAACCATCTCCTTCAGATCTCCTTGCAAAGACTCTCCCAGGCCTCTAATTCTTAAGGCATATTCCATTTGTCCATATTGAAGCATAAGAATCTCATTTTCCATTTCTTTTTCCATACTTTCAATTTTCCCCTCCATTATGTCCACTTTTTCAGCTACCTCTTCCACATGGGAGTTCACCTTTTCAAGAACAGAAGCAACACCTTCTAAAGCCAAAACAAAATCTTGTCTCAAGATCTTATTGTTTTCCTCTAAAATCTTTTTCATTTCTGCCCTAATTTGAATTATAACATCTCCCATCATGTCTTGCAAGTCCTTCATAGTTATTAGCTGACCCCCAGAAGAGGGTGAAACTGTTGATTTAGAAACTGTAGAAATCCCTGGACGCTTTGGAGCCATCTTAAAGAAAAACCTTTAGTCCTTCTTAAGCAATTATAAAAATTCCTTCAAAAATCATAACTCCCTCCAAAGAAGGTCATTATAATAAAAAGAAAAAAGGGAAAAAAAGGAAGAGAAAAAGAATTAAAAAAAAGTTTTACTCCTTCTTAAAAATTACAAAAAATTAAGCAGAAAAAAAGTCCTTCAAAAAAGGGTCATTACAATAAAAAAAAAAGGGGAGTTCAAAGGAAAAAAAAAGGGAGAAGGAAAAAAAAAAAAAATTAAATAAAAAAAGTCCGTTCCAAAAAAAATACTTAGAGATACCAAAAACAACCATTCCAATCATAAGGAAATAAAAAGAGAAAGGGAAAGGAAAGAAAGAAAAACACCAAAAAGCCTGCCGGTCAGCATTCTAACTTCCAGAAAAAAAAACACCGAGGAGTTTGCCGATCGCCATTTTACTTTCCCTTTCAACAAAGAAAAAAAATAAAAAGAGAGAATAAAAATAGAAACAAATCTTAAAACTTAAAATCCAAATAAGTCAAAGAAAGCAAAAACTAAATCCTCTACTCAGCTCTGTCCATTTAAAAAAAAAAAACTCACCAGTTCTCTTTAAGCACGGAGGTGTTTGCGGCGGCTCGTTTTGTCCCTGAGGACAAAAACAGCTGGGAAGCGGAGACAAGTCTGAACTCCGTGGGAGCACTCCTTTCACCCCCCCAAAAAAAAAAACTTGGGGGGTGCGAAAGAGGCTCTACCACTATTCAGACACTCTCTACCCCCCCCCTTTGCCCGGGAGGGGGATTTTGAACCGCTGAACAGCTGATATCTGCTGTTCATAGCGGTTCTTACACTTACCCAGGAGGACGGCTACAAAGTAGCCGCCATCACGCACGCAAAATCCACCGGAAGTCCCGACATATGGCTCTTAAATGAGATTTTTAAACCACATTGAGTATATACTGGAAAAAGGTTCTGTGATGAGTGTGAAACTGGGGATAATAAGAATTTATCCGAAAAAAGATGGGCAGTGAGTAGAGTGCTGGTTCTGGAAAAAAAAAATCACACCAGTTCAAATGGTTTTTTTTTTACAAATATTAAAAAACAAAACAAAATGCAAGATGTATTATTCCCAAGTAATCAGAGACAGAATGGCTATAAAGATACAACTGGGCTTACCCTGGACAGCACAGGCTCCGTTCATTACTCTTTCCCTGTTCACAGTCTGTAAAAATTAAATATCTAATCACATTTTGTTTCTGTTGGTAAACTTTTATATTTGTCTTTGTGACAGCAAAAAAAAAAAGCAAATTCTAGACAGGTAATTAGGAGAAAAGATACAAAACATAAACTGCTTAATAATAATTTTGGCTTTCAAATATGATTACAAAATCCATTCAGAGTAAATCAATCGATGGCTCTAAGAACTAATGGAGCAGTCTTTTTCGCAGCTATTATATGGTACTTCTTATCAGTTTTTTACAGCCTTCATAAACTGCTTGAAACATTTGACTAATTAAGATTAAAAACAGAAGGCTAGACTGAATAGACTTTTCTCTAATCTGGCTGATCATTTTTTTGTTCCTGGTCCTGCACCTTTCTCCAAGGAAGATATATACCGGTAGATATATCCGCTTGCTCTTTTGTAGTGGGAATATCATATGGCCTGCACTTGAAGCACTCTCAAATTTAATCTCACAAAGTACCACCGCAGCTTTCAGATGATTATCAATCACATCAATTTAAATACAGTAGTTGCCCATCTTGCAATGGCATTTTTTTTTTAACTATAGTAACTAAAAGCATGCCAGAAATACAGTCTGAAAAAGAAGAAATGCTACTCTGGGGCATGGTGACATCTGTCCTAGCCACTCTTCTTAAAGAATTTTTGTTTTCAGCATGGCAAGAAGCAGGTTTTTGGAGAAGCAGCTGAGAATGGAAGGATTTCTGTGCATCCCAAAGGACTGCCTGATTTTACACAGACCAAGAATCCTTTCAAGTGCAGTGGTTGTATGTGGAATTCTGAGAGACAACCATGGGTGATCTCCCAAAATGGTTACCATTGGGAAGGGGGATATATCCCTTATTAAAATAGCTGTCCTAACAGGTAAAGGAATTCTCAAACTGCCATTTAACAAAAGACTTGAAATGCTCTGTAAATCACCCCTGGTTTCTCTTGATCAGATGGGCAAATTTCAAAACAAAACACGGTATCAAAAAACTTTCTGAGAAACAAAGATAATGATGGGAATCTGACTTTGGCTTAAATGCCTGTTCCCTCTTTTAAAATTGTTGTTTGTTTGAAACATCTCCAATAGACTACACAAAAAGATACAAAGGGGGAACAGAGTTCTCTGCTGCTCTCATTAACACAGTTGCACAATGGATGAGTGCAAGTTTTAAGCCAACTCACTGAGGCCACAGATGATATTAGAAAATGATCAATCCCATGCAATAGATTCCTCCTTTTCAATGGCTAATGGCTGCAATTTGTCTATAATCTCAACTCAAGAGTCAGAGTTTGACTAGAATACTCATAAGCTAGATCTTGCCAACTTCACTTAGAAAGGATCAAACACTGCCATCTCATCAGTTCCCAGTAGTTAGACAAGTTTTTTTTACAGCTTCTTGGCATTGCATACTTCAGAAAACCCTTTCTCCCCAAATTGAGGAAACTATCTAATTACAATGCACTTACAATGCACTTACCTTTGGAGGGTCAGCTAGAGATAACTTAGGTAAGGATGTCTGAAGAGTCTTTGCATTCATAGGTGGAATGTGCACTAGAGCCAAAAATGGAACAGAGGTCTCAGAGATTACATCAAGAGTGATATTATTCTGAAAAACAACTATCCTGCTCAATTCTCTTCCATCTCTATATGCTAAATATAGTTTCATTTAAAAGTCCATTGCTACATAGGTGATTCCAGAGCCTTCCTTAAGAAGAAATCCTATCTTTTGATCAGGGAATGCTTATGTTTCTAGTATTTATAAGAAAAGGTTCTTGCTATTAGGATTATGGGAACTGTTAAATCTATCTATGTGGGTGCTAAGAGTCACCATCTCACTGGCGTAAATCAATGCATTTAATAGCCTGTAAGAAGATGAAAGTAGAAGAAATACAGGTAGACCTTGATTTACAGCCACAATTGGAATCAGAACCTTGATTGTTGAGCATTCCGTGAGACATCCACATGACCGCTTCATTCAATAATTGCAGTCTCGGCTCTCCTAGCTGTGGTATTTAAGCAACCATGTGAATTGTTAAACGGACAAAGCAAAACTGCTGCCTGGAGAAGAAGGCCAGACAGCTCCCCTCCATGTGTGGAAAGACCCTGCCTTTATTAGTTTTACAAATAACGCAAGGAGGTGAACATATCCAACATACCTTCCTCTTCCTATTTTCCCCACAGCACCACCCCTGTGAGGTGAGTTGGGCTGAGAAGGAGTGACCGGCTCAAGGTCACCCAGCTGGCTTTTATGTCTGAGGCAGGACTTGAACTCAGTTGCTTGCTTTCTAGCCTGGTGCCTTAACCAAACTGACTCTCGAGACCAAATTGTTGCCCTACTTCTTAATATCTTAATAACTGCATTAAGAAAAGTATGAAGCCATGAAACTAGTTTCTAGGTCACTATGCTTTAAATCAGACATGTCAAACTCGCGACGTCACGTGACGTCATGCAACATATCGGAGCTTTTTCGCCATTGCCGGCAATGGGGGTGTGTGGTTTCCCAATGACGCATCCGGCCCACGGGCCAGTAGTTTGACACCCCTGCTTTAAACGCTTTGGTCAATTCACTTAGCCTGAGCTCTGCAATTGCACTATTCCTTCCACCAGTAAAATTTCAGTGAGGACTTCAGTTTCAGACTGATAAATAATGGAAAAACACAAGAAAAAATGTTTTTTATATATACTCGGAGAGGCTTCCTTGAGTCATTATAGAATCAAAGTAGATTTGAAATTCAAAATGCTGAACAAGAATGTCTGGACTTTTGAAGGATTCAGCTTTCTACAGGCAGCTGAACCTGAATTGAGAGCAGTTTCAAGGTGGAATGTTGGAAATTAGTTTAAGCCAAAACCAAATCTTTGTGTAGCTACTTTCAACTCTCATTTATTTATCTTCTTGTTTATCCAACACTGTACTGTATATACCTTTTTCATTTCTGCTAAGAGAATGGTCATCACATGCATAATAAAAAAAGGAAAGCTTGCATACCTTATCATAAAAATTAGGCAATATATTTTTTGTTCCCAGCCACTTCAATTGTTTTGCAAATTATTTTTAAAATGTTAACTTTAGGTTTTCATGTAAAGGTGCCAAGCATTTTCCTTTCTATGTTTTTCAAATTCGAAAGATAACACAATTCATGTATTAAAAATATATATACAACCATCCCTTTTTTTTTCTTTTAATTTACTTGGCAATTGTAAACTTACTCTTTACAAAATCTTCAAGGAAGGAGGAAGAATAGATACACAACATCCTTCGAGTATTGTGATTACTCTCTACATCAAAGCTATCCACTATTTCACTGCTGTGCATGTGATAAGGTAGTAATCCTATACAGAAATAGATTGCTGCCCATATATGTGAGGAAAGCAGAGAGGATAAATAAACTCAAGATCTTCTAACATATGCTCATTACCTGCTATATTACAAAGGCCCATGCCTGGAAGGATAGGTAGCATATATTCTATAGGTTTGTAGACACTCAAGATTTAGAATGGGGGAAAATCAAGGGACAGAATATTAGAGTGCAAAGCTCTAACCTCTACTTGATGTCTGGAGGATTGTTCAGACAGATAACAAAAATCCCAAGGATAGGGCATGACCAACAAGTTCATTCCTGCATTCTCCCTCCCCAAATTCTCATTATGTGAGAAATAAACTTTTTATACATTATTGTACTGCTAATATTACCATTTTCAACTAAGACTTAAATGGGTTGATCACAAGATGAAATTATGGATTTCGTATTGTTTCAAAATCATGAAATCCAAATTTCTGGACTCAGCAACTGTGTTCAGATACTTACTACTAGCAGCATTCCTGTGCATGGTTACATATTAATAAACCTCATTGACTTCAGTACAATTTTGGTCCACATAGCCCCAGAGATTCCTCCAGGTAGGCAGGGAATGCAGAACTCTTGTCAGTGAAGACAGCAAACTATGAGAATTAGCCCCTAAAGCTGAATGGCCAGACATAGGAAATCTTACCTTCTAGTTTGTACTTCTGAATCTTTTTTGCCAAGTCTCTCCTGTGAATAGTCAGGAAGCAATTTTCTATTAAATCCAAATGCATGGGAGATATCAGATCTAGCTTCTCCAGGTCAGTAATAATTGCCAAAAAACTCTAGAAAAATCAGACAGAACGACTGTAAAGGACAAGCCAACGCAGTCCTGAGAAATTACAGTTATATGTTAAACTTTCAGAGAATATAAAAAGATTGGCAGTACATTATCTGTCTCCCCTGTTTAGGAAAATATATTACTTCACAATTAGCGTTTACCCTATCTTGCAAGGTAGAGTTTTGGAATTTCCAGTTTTACTAATGAGGAAGAGATTACACAACATAGTAGCCTGAACTATGTAAGTTCATTTCAGTGAGCAAGCTGAAACCAGGATCTTTCACTCCAACCCATCCCATTGCCTCTCTATATTTTTAGAGTACCAGACCAGAAGTGGTTAGGATGACAGTAATTTGTGTCCAAATCACCTGGAGGGCCCAGAATTGAATTGAATTCTATTCTTATTACAAATCATTCTAAGAAACACATAATTCGTGAAAGAGATTGTTGAGCAGTTGTCAGTATCAGGTAAAATTAAATAAAAAACAGTTCTAGATTAATCTGTCAGCTAAGAATTCTGCTTCATGTAAGTCAACAAGTGACAATAAAGAGCTTCCTCAACTGGAAGTTATTAGTAGCACTGGTAATTTCCAAAAGAAACTTGCTTGCAGTTTCAGTATTTTATTATCACTGACCACCTAGGCAGAAATCAATACTTTCAGTGTCCTAATGCAGGAACAATATATTGTTAAGAAGACCTTATGGAAAGAGAAAGAGAAAAGGCTATGATGCTCCACCCAACCCGAGGAGCTATTTATTCATCCTTTCATTTATAACTTGAAGGTTACATAGCTTTCTATCCCATTAAGTTTATTGCTTTCTATCCCACCTGTTGATTTAGTGCTATCTTTCCAAGTTTGATTTATAAAGCGTACATCATCGCTGCATCCTACAACCAACAGACATAAACCAGGACATCCTTGTTCCTTCCCCTGTGTAACACACAAAGACCTGAGATGAATTACTATCATGTTCATGTTAAGTCTACCTTCTCCTTGTGTGATGTACCAAGATGATTTTTCAGAAGGAAAGAGAGAGATCTCAAGTCTTCTTTGTCCAGATCTTCATTGATTTCAGTCATCAACAACCTGCACACAAACCCAATTTGCAATTAATTTAAAATTAAATTAATTTTAAAAAGGCTTTGCTTTCCTACCTAGGGGCCTCTGCTACATATTCTTATGCAATATTCCTTTCTTAAACTATATTTTAACCATATGTGTATTTTTCAACCAACAAGTATTAATAAGATATTAAGACCAAATTAAAACTACAGTTGCAAAGTACAGTTGCAAATAACAGGAACCCTACCTAAACAAAAAATACCATACAAAGAGTAAAAATGGAGAATACAGAGGGCTTAATAAAATTAGGAAAAGGTACTCAGGAACAAATTGAAAGCTATTATAGTTACTTTGGACTATAACTCTTATCAGTTCTACACAGAATGACCAACGATGAGGTATGCACTTCACTTTGCCCTTTGCCATCCATGGAGACGATTAGTGTGGGTAATATAGAATTAATTGGACCAATATTATAACAGTGTACAGCAGCTTCCCATAATGGTACCCTATTAGGTTTCTGTTATGCATCCTTTGTACACCATAAAATATATCCATTGCTCTTCAACTTAGCTCACCTGTATTTTGACAACATCTGAGGGTGCTTGGCCAAACTGGCTTCCACGGCTGCTCTTCCAGTCCCCAGGAACTTCTTTAACAAATCAAATCTTTTCAGCCTGTATAATAGTTCAGATAAGTTGATGGTGGTCAGCATCTCCTTTTCATTCAAAGCTGTTAACAGTTGTAGGCCACCAGGCGTAGAAACGTCAGACATGAGATCACTGCACAAGAAGACCATGATTTCTTTTTCATCTGTATCCAGTTCCTGTTCAAGCTGGTATAGGAGGGATGCTGGGACACTGCAAAATGTCATCACAGGCCACTACCCCTTTATAGTTCTCTGTGTGTATTTTAAACAAGAAAAGCCACGTCGTGAGGCTTGCTTCTAAATGCAGAATCTGCCTTCATTGTTGATCTTCAATATCCAGGCTTCGCTTTATGCCTTTTATATATCAAAAGTCCATTGACAAGAAGAGAAGACCTAGACAAACCCAAATCATTTTAATCACACACAATGATTAAAGTTCACTGCTGGCACTCATTCTGCCATCTCATCCGCTGCTACATTTGTTCGGGCTGGGAACAGTATGAACTTTTTCAAATGAAGTGAAGCTTAGGATGAATCAAAAGGGAATGTCCAGTTTTCAAGAAAGCTCCCACTATCACATAATTTAGAATGCCCAGAGGAACTGAAACTAAAATTAAACAAAAGGTACAGACTGAAAATGGGAAGTTACAATATGCCACTGACATCCATAAAATGTCTCTTTCACTAAAATTATGCTTTCTGAAAGGAGAGATTTAGCACTTCAGGAAAATACATGTTTTGCATACAAACAGGCTATCTGAGCAATCTTTGGGCATTTCCACAGAGAACTGGAAGTGTCACCTGAAATTCTGGGGAACTAATGTTTTGAACATTACTGAAAAGGATGGGCTGACTTAGTTCTTATACAGCAGCTTCCTCTGTTCCTAACTTCATTGCAACCTTCATACATGTGAATCAATTGACAAGTGTCTGAATTTTGATCAGGTGATGATGAGGATGCTACAATGGTTGTCAGTGTGAAAAATGGTCATAACTCACTTTTTTCAGTGCTGGTTAACTTCGAATGGTCATTAAATGAACTGTTGTAAGTCAAGGACTACCTGTACTGTAACTGCCCCTGCTTATAACTTATTCCCTTTCTATTGTTATATAGAGGGAGGGTTATTTTATAAGAATTAACTTTCTTAATTGTAACGGCACAGATACTTATTCATATGGTACGTGTATGCCTCTAGCAGCCACACAGATACTTCTTACACAGAAACACTACAGAAGAACACAAATACACACATTCCCCTCCTTCCTTCTAGCAGAAACAGAGAATCTGTTAGATTGGAGATAGTGTTCTGAGCAGCTCAGAAGGCAAGAGAGGGCAATCAGGAAGACATAATTAACGAAGGAAGGAAGGAAGGAAGGAAGGAAGGAAGGAAGGAAGGAAGGAAGGAAGGAAAAGGAGTCAAGATCAGTCCTTATATGAGTTTAAAAAATCACCAAATAGCCACTCGCCAAGCGCTTCTCAACAGAATGGCCACTAGTAGTTTCCACCTGCTGATCATTTATTTACAACATCATCTTCTATGCCTTTTCTTATCAAATGTAAGGTCAACTACTTGGGGGTGAAGAAAGAGAGAAGATGGTCTCTAACCTTGGTATTTTCAAAATAAAAATTTCTAGCCGTTTCCATTATTCAAACTACTCCACATTCAATACATCATTTTGCTTCAGCCCAGTCTTGTAACTAACTAAAATCCACCACTTAGCCCAAAACTTCCATTGCTAAGCAAATCAGTTGTTTGCCCAATTTTATGATTTTTCTTGCCAACAATCCCTGAGGTTAAGTTAGTAACATGCTTGTTAAGTGAATCTGGCGTCTGCATTGTCTTTGCTTGTCAGAAAGCCGCAACAGGTCATCACACCATGCCTGGCACAGCAACCATCATAAATACATGCCAGTTGCCAAGCGCCTGCATTCTGGTCACATGACCATGAGGATGCTGCTATAGTCGTTAAGTGTAAAAAACAGTCATAAGTCACTTTTTCCAATGCCACTGTAACTTCCAACGGTCACTAAGTGAATGGTTGTAACTTGAGGACTATCTGTAGTTTCTTTTCATTCTCATACAGGCTGACAGAAAATGGTTTGAGTCAGGTCACTGAAGGATTCGTTAGAGCAGAAGCACATCAGATCAGGATTTTACAAATTTACAATAGCAATTTAAATCACTAAGACATAACTAGACACTTGTTTTAGACAAATTCTTAATGATCTCTGAATAAAAGGACATATACCTCATTAAATATTACCTCTGTAAGATTCCACAGTACTTCATCAATCAAGCAATCATTTACTTTTATTCCATTTTTATCATTTTTACAAATAATTAAAGGCAGCAAACATATATAATATTCTTTCCTCCTCCTATTTTCTCCATAACAACCACCCTGTGAGGTGGGTTGGCCGAGACTAAAAATCCCATGATTAAGATTTCTAAATGTCATAACAATAATAAACTGACATATGTACATACATTCATAGTACTGTTTGAGCTTGGAAAAGAAGAAGCCGCCTCATTTTTATAGGAAAAGACTCATAATCAAGATTTGAAAGAAATGAACAAAGATACCAAGATTGCAATTCTATGCTTCCAAGCATAGAAACAAATCCACCAACTTTAGAGTAAAAGTGCATAGGATTACGCTGCCAGGATTTAAACAGCACAATGTCTGCAATCTGATATTGAAAATAGTAAAAAATATTCACCAATCACCAAAAGCATATTATTCCAGTAAGTTTAAGACTGATTTAAACATATCCAGAGACTAAGGTTGCTTTTTTATAATCCACGAGCATTGTTTATCTTTGTTCAGATTTAGTTTTCAAGATTGAAATGAGTCCCTGTGAAATCAAGAATATACATAAAAGGGAGAGAACATAAAACTAGGCTTCTCCTGCTTGCAGCCACACAGGAAATTCCAGTTTGCACTGAGGAGGGACTGAAGGATGAATCACAGCCTAGACATTCCAGGAATTGCAAGCATACCAGATAGGGCAGTTATATCCTTTCATAATTTTTGCAAGCCAAGGATTAGCTACAAAATCTGCATTCTGCTAAATAACAATAAATTTCTAATAATGAGTACTCTAGTCTAGATTCAGAAAGTATGCATGCTGTGTGGAAACTGACTTCACTGAGTTTTATGCACATTGACAAAAGCTGCTGTCAGGACCCCAAAACCCTCCTCCCTTTCCTTGGCCATATATTCTGCTTTTGGGGCCTGCCATTCTGTTGGGGGGGAGGGGGAGTTTGCATGTGCTTGGAATAACCTTTGCTTTCTATATTCCCCTCTTCCCTCCATCCCCTTGAGATAGGAATGTGTCTCCCTTTATCAGGAAGAGGGTTGCAGAGAAAGGAAATTGGAGAAGACCTTGAGATGGGCACCAACTCTGCCAGTTACCTGCTCATCATACCACTTGTGGATTGGCTGGATTTCAAATGGACATTATGACTTTGGTGAGAGGAGGAATATTGCTTGCTTAACTATACCGCGACTTCCCTACTGTCACTGACCCCTAATAAAAGTATCCTTTTGAGACAATGCCTGTTTCAAGAGTTCTGCTTTCTTGGGTGGTTAGTTGAAGTGGGACCTTAAGCTGCCTTCTATCTGCCAGATTTGCACACTATCCATTCATAATATGATTTGATTTTGACTGTGTGTTTTGTAAATTCAGCCAGTTGTCTTACACAGTAGATCATAATTTAGAAATAACTACTGGACATATTCACATGACACACTCCATTAAAAAAATCTTAAATAGCTTGTGTATGCTATCATATCCTACATCCAATCATGTTCTGTATTTTGAGGCTCGCTATTTGGCTTATAAACCACTATGGGTGAGTTAACACAATCCAAGTCAAAACCAAGCAAATTACATTACAGCCACAATTAAATGAACAAACTCTTTGGATTAGGCCTGTTCCATTTTTTAAAACTGGATGAAACCAGGAATCATGTGTAAAGCAGCCAACCAGAAGGAAGATAGAGTGCACGGGGTTGAAAAAGAAACATATAAAGCAAGGATTGAAACTTGTGGTCTCCATATCATACAGTCAATTGTGTGCATGTTTTATCCTTTCATAGGGATTTAGTGCAAATAAAAAACAAGTTTACTATTTTAGCAGCTACAAGTTGGACTAGCAATAAGACATAAAGTACAACTGGTGACTAATTTCAAATCACGTACGTGCCATATCCTATTTTGTCCCAAGTTAGTCAACATTATGCTGTCACTGAGCATAATTATACTGCATCTCTTTCAGTATTTTCAATTTCTTTTCTAAAAAAATGACTAAACTTTTATAAACTGGGGAATTTCCGGAGTTTCTGTTGACAGCTGCAGCGTGAAAGTAAGTTCTGTGTATTGCAACAGAAAGAGGGCATCCAGAAAACATGTGGGGTCTACATTTTTACAATAGGCAAGAATATAATTTTTCCCCAATTCATCTTAATACATTCCATTTAAAATTCCAACTTAAAATATATACTTTTAGGACCTAGCTGTGGTTGTTTCCCTTTTAAAGTAAAGTTGATTCTGGAAGAAGAAATGATTGACTTTCCATTTCTTGCAAGGCACATCTGTAAATAAAAAGCGATGTATTTCCTGCATTAACTCTGTAAATTAGGTACTCTCAAAGTGGAGGGTGGGGAGTGTCACGAGACAAAGGATAGGAAGAGTTGCCAGGAGGCTGCTTTCTGTGGGCAGGTTTACCAGTTTAATGCAAAATCACACTTTTTTGTTTTTGTATGCCACCTTTCCTTTCAAAGGGAACAATCAAGGTTGGAGAGCCCAAAAATTTAACGGAAAAACTGATCTTCACTTTGCAGACAGAATTACAAATGGGAAGGGAAGGATAGAGATTATTGGGGAGAAATCATCAAAAGCAGCCAATTTCAAGAGAAATTGACTTAAGGCAAAGAAATACCCTTTTACTTCCCTCTGACTAGTGAAAAAAAGTGGCTGTCTTCAAAATGAAATTCAGATTTCAGAATGATACAAAAGTAAGCAGGTTCATCCTTCCATTAAACTTTTAAACTTTTTCTTCAATTTCCAATTATTGCTTTTTGTTCAATTTTTATTTTGTAAAGCCCTGATAAAGTGAGGTGTTCAGTCAATAAGTCTTGTCCTACTCTTTGTGACCCTATGGACATAGCATGCCAGGCCTCTTCTCTACTGTTTCCCAGAGTTTGCCCAAATTCATGTTCATTGCACTGATGACACTATCTAATCAGAGGGGGGTGGGTATTGTAACAGAAATTCATGTTATCATTTAAAAGGATTATGTATTTGCAGAGTTTGAGAAACCTTCTTTTTCTTGAATGTATCACTGAACATCACACTTTTTAAGAGGCTTTCTCAAGGAATTTCACAAATTCTAGTAAATAAAAAGAACTACTTCCTTCTTAAGAGTCACAAAGACATAATGGAACATAACAATTGCTAAAATAGAAGGTTTCAGATGGCATGTTCAGTCTGATGGTTGCTTAAGGAAAGTCCAGACTAGAGCTCCAAGTTATTAGGATTTTCCCCTAAAATACCAGCAAAAACACCTTGTTATTAAAGCAAAAACTATCATTTTATTCATAGTGGATAATTTAATCAAGGATGCCCTCAGAAGCAGAGGATACAATCCTACTCCAATTTACTTTTTAGAATAATCAAGTGTCTCATGCAGTTGTATTTAAAATCTTCTGACAAAAAATAAAAATTGAAATGAAGACGCCAGGAATTCATCTGCCGGACCTTGTTTGGTTTGGAAAAACTCAACAGGATCTAACTTAATATTCTGATTAGAGCACTAGAAATCCTCAAGAGCTATTGGGAAAAAAAATCAATCCACAAACATTTCTTGTATTACTGCCAAGAAAACTTCCGGGAGTTGTAGGTGAAGCCACCAGCGAAGCTCTGCTCCACCAATTTTTGTTTTCCTTTTATAATCTTACATAGGCGCTTATAATCAATGAATATAGTTATTAAATGCATAGGCAATTTCTGAGTAAACATACGAATAAAATGGGACTGTTACGCAGATCCATAAAAAATGGAAAATGCTCCCCTCGGCCGTCGGGAAGGAGAAACGGAAGAGAAACAGACTCTCAGCTTAAGCCCAAACAAAACAAGTCATCGGGCCCTGCATTCTCTCTTCCCTCTTCAGACTACACGCCTCGCATTCCCGCAATAAAAACGCTCTGCGCGTTCGTCAAATGAGGACGGGGACCGCGGAGCTCCTCTTTGGAACAAGACCTCCCCTCTCCGCCCCTACGGACTAACGCGGCCATAACTTTTGTTTAAGCGCGTGGATAAGGCTGTCTTTCTTCCGCCGCTTCTCGCAAGCAAAGGCAATCTTATGGACTTTGCTCATTAGTAAGCTCCCTGCGTTGAGCGGAGCCCGCTCGGCCAAGCGCACACGGCCAGTCTGAACACAACTTTCAAGCGTGGCTCGCTTGGGATGGCGTTCTTATCGAATTCAGCGGCGCTCACTTAGCAGAAACTGGTATTGAATTGTGACAGTCAAGCGCCCCTTTCCTTTTCAGACCCAGATGATTTATAACACGGATCTCATGAAGCAGAGTTGCAACTAGCCCGGGTTTTTGTTGCACAGCCGCCTCGGGAGAACATGGCCTCCTCTTCCGCTTCTCTTCTCCGAAAACTATAGCACACGCCTCAGTCCACGGACGCCCCGTTCCCCAACTCGGCTTCTCAGCCAGCTCTACTCACAGCTCGAGCGCCCTCTCCGCCCTGCTCTGCGTCTCCTCGATGCGGCAGGCGCCCTTTGGGAGCCCAAACGATTTGTCTTTGGGACGCCAAGCGGCCTTTGAGTAACCAAACGTCACTACTGAAGTGACGTTAAGCTTGGGAGCCGCCCAGCTCCCAAATAACTTGGAGTGCATTCGATGGACGAGAGAAAGACCAGAAAAATATTACTCTTTTTGGGGTAGGGGGGTAGGGAGGAGATATACTGTAATTATACTTGTAACTACAATTCGTGTTGAAGTTGCTAAAAAGATTATACACTTCCATGGTTATTTTTTGTGATAATTATTTCTGATGGCGTAGCTTTTAGTACATGTTAAATTGAAGCAAAAGATCGTGAACTGTATAAACAAGGTTTGGTTTTTGATTATAATGTACAACATATTTCAGGAAAAAGCTAGCATAAGTACATGTCTTCCACTTACAATAGTTCAAAGTTACAACAGCACTGAAAAAATGCTCTTGGTCCCATTATCAATTCCAGTTGCTATGCCAAATTTTGCCACAAGATGTTCGCAGCAGACCACAAAATCTTTTCCTAAACGCCAAATAGCCTCTTATTCAGTTAAAGCACACAAAAAAGCCTATATTTTGCAGTTAATAGTTAAAGAAGTTAAAAAAAATGCTAAGTCTCTATAATAAAAAGTTTTGGGCCCCCAAGGTATGCACAAAACAAAAATCCAATTATTTGGTTGTTGAAGTTAGTAGTTCTTTCCTTTTCTTTCCAAGCTGTAAAATCCCAGGTATACAAACGCCGCTGAATTGAGAGCGGGGAACAAATTTCAAAAAGCTTTCACAGGAAGGTAATTAGAGAAAAAGAGAGGTAAAAAAGGATCTCACCCAAATCCTCCACTCCTGCTTCATATGCTTAGCTGTTATTGGGACTTTTGGCTGGTGCGACTAGATGATCGGCCATGTTAATGGCCAATCTTTTTTTCCGTCAGTCCTAGGGAGCTGCCTCGGATCAAACCGAAGGGCTACTGCCCTTCCGTGATCTTGCAACGGTCCTCCCCAACGGTGGTCGCCCCTGCAGGGCGACTTTCGACCCTTTCCAGGGTCTTCCGACAAAGGGAAACCAGACGGCAGGGAGAAGCTTCCCCCCGCATATCCAAAGGCGTCGCATCCAGAACTGGAAGTCTATATTTAAAGAAGTTTTGACGAATTTTTTTTTTTAAGTCACTGCCATTGGCTTCAAGATAGCAGTTCTTTAGTATGGCTAATATATTTTTCTTCAAGGCCAAGATAATACACACTATGCTTATTAATCAACTATCACTACGTGAAATAGCCAACAACTAGACCCAACATTGAATACAGAATTACAAAATATATCTTTTTTCTATCATCGAAAACATTATTTTGTGATTTGTACTAAATAATGATTTCAGTTACCCGTGTGCAGCTAGTTCTTGCTTATTATTTTACATTTTTCTTTGGGCTGAGGAGAAGATTGCTCCAACAATGGCAAACATTTACAATATTCTTGAGAAAGGTAAGTATTAATGAGATTTAATTGGCTAATGTTGTTTCCTCAGAAGAAGAAGATGGCGGATGACCAATGTGTTTTGGGAAAGCAGACTTGATCTCAGATGACAGCACATACTTCTGCTAATTAATACAATCCTGCAATACTATCAACCAGTCTGGTAGTGATGATGCCAAATGCCAAGTCTTAAAACTTGGAAGGAATTTGAAAAGAACTGAACAAAGATGATCCCTGTTTTTTAGAAAGAGATGTTAGAACAAGGATTTTTTTTCTTATTATCCAATTGTTGTATGTTTCATAATACTTTTACTATTTTACCCAGAACAATTAATAAAGCTGACTGGCCTATATCCTGTGTCCTCTTAAAGCTCTTTTTTAAAGTGAAATAGTTTTGGTTATTTTCCAATTTTGAGGCATAGATGTTAACCTTAAGAAAATCAGTGTTTTCATTAAGTTTGGTATATTTCACCTGATTTGTTCTCCCTTTTCCTGTTTGCCTTCAGCAGCTCCATTTTGCCAATGCCCCAATACAGGTAATCCCATCAGGGTGAGCAACTCTGTCACTAAGCATCACAGTCATAAAATGAAGTCACATGACTGTGCCTAACTTATGGTGTCATTTCTTCAGTTTCTGCTGTGGTTATTAAGCAAATCACTACAGGCCATTAAGTGCGATAGGTAGTAATAACTTCCTGTTGAGGACTGGGACATAAGTTTCCTTTTCAGTGTTTTCAGTAAGTGAGGACTATCTGTATTGTGGTCAAGGCTGGGAGGCCAAAGCTAAAGACCGAAGAATGAGTTTTTCAATAAAGTTGCTCCAACATTATTTCACCTTAAGAGTGTGAATTTTAGCAAGATAATGACACTTCTAAGGGAAGGATATTTGCATTAAATGGTAATTCCTTCTGACAAATAACCAAATATTTGTAGCAATCTCCTTCATTCTTACTTGGAGGAAAAGCCATTAATCTTAGCCATGAACAGTATTATGGATATTCCCACATCCAACTTTATTCTTTTCTTTGTCATACTTCAAATGACTCAAAATGCTTTACGGAATAACAGGAACAAAACTATCAAATAATTACAGAAGCACCAAAGGCCCTTGGGAACAATTTGTTCAAATGGTTTTGCAAAAGGCAAGCAAGTTGCAGAGTGCAACTATTTATGCTTTTTTTTTATTTTTGTTTTTGTATTTAATTTCATAATAAAAATTCCCCCCTTAACTACGCATTTTCTTTACTCTTCCCATATTTCCTATTTGTCCTGTCTCTGCCCTCCTCATCCTTGATCCTTCTATATTAGTAAAATATTCAAGCATTGGAAATTGATCATGATCAAATATTAATCAATCATAGTATAGCTAGAGTAAAAAACAAGGGATGCTTTTCAGTGGAAAATATTCTGGGCAGCAGCTTGACTTTCTAGGTTGCAATTACCCCGTTGTAATCCTAGTTAGCCATAGTGTATAAATGAATGATAATAGGATAGGACAACTTGGACCTAAACTAAAGGGTTTAACTGCACGATGCCCATGACTCAGCAACCAAGGTAACTATCAGGAAGTTTTCACATATGTTGGGTAAAAGAAGTCTAGGGTTGAAAGGAAAGCTAAATGTCGGTTTGGCAAAAGCACTGGGAATTCTTTTTCATGTTTAAAACTAGAGCAACGAACTCCCACCAGAAATGTGGACTTCTGTCAGCATTTTCCCCATCCCCCACCATGATCCCATTTTCTAATTAATACTCTTAAATCAGCAGACATGGCTTGAAGGCAAATAGTCCTCAAGTAAGATCAATGCTGGTTTGAATCTTTTAAGCCGAAAGGAAAGGATAGTTTAACACAGTAGTTCTCAACCTTTTTAATGCCGTGACCCCCAACCAGTCGTAAGTCGAGGACTACTCAACCGGTCGTAAGTCGAGGACTACTCAACTGGTGCAGCACCGTTTGCAGAATGGGACTTTTGGCGGGCTCAGCAGGGCAGAGACAGCCTGGACAATTCCTATTGGCTTTTGAAAGCCAATAGAATTAGACTCTATTTAAGAGAGTCTATTCTATTGGCTTTCAAAAGCCAATAGAATAAAAAGGAGTAGCACAGCTAAGGAAAAGGGGGGAAAAATGGCGGACTGTGTTGTTTGGCGACCCCCGTGAAATGGTCATTCGACCCCAAATGGGGTCCCGACCCACAGGTTGAGAACCACTGGTTTAACATAAAAAATACACTCAGACAATTTCTCTAATGATAAATGTAAAACAAAGCAATTAAACTTAAGACTTTGGTACAAACTGGAATTACCAGTTCACGTTTGTCCTGTTACTGTTGATAAACCCAGTCAAATGTTGGAATAATCTAATGTTTGCGTGCTATCTTGCAAACTCTATCTCTTGTTGCTGCTTATGTGATGCAAATGTAATGGATAGACACTGCGGTATCACAACACATTTCATTATATTTGTGTCACTGTTGGGCTGTTGGAATACCTGTGTTAGTAACAATCATGCTAAAAAATCTCACCTTTTTGCCCCCTCCTCATCCTAAGAAGACAAAATAAAAAGCATGTTTTCCCTGTCCAAATTCTGAAATGAGCATTTGGTTTTGGTTTTTTTACAGCAATTTATGTATCACCTTAATAGTGAGATTGGTAGCATATAAATTCAATAAATAAATACTTTCCTAAGTCCCTTACTCACACAAATTATAAAAATGGTCGTGTACTACTCAGTTAAGTCACAAGAGAAGAAAATCAATTCCTGCTCAGTTGGGTAAATGCTGTGTCTCTTCCCATTTTCCCATTCCCAATAGAAGCTAAGCCATCTTTTATCATACCAACCCAACACTTCTTTCTCCCACTCAATTTCTCTCTCCCCAATTAAAAATCTGAGCCACATTATTTTATTTTTCAAAAATAAGCTGAATCTTACAAGTTGTTTAAGTGCTCCATCCAACATATCTGAGAATATGCACGTTACATTTCTTCTTAATTGCAATTCCTCTGTAGTAGTAAGACCGAACGCTTGTCCTTTGCTATGGCAGATTTGAATTTGATTTTTTTAGTTCTCTTTTTCTGCTCTTTCCATAGTTATATCATTCAATCCATTGCTTCCCCTGTACTTTGAACTGTTTTATCTCTGCCACTGGGAACATTACATGTAACTACTGAATATCAAGGCAGTGTTTGATTACCTTGAATTCCATAACTGTTGCCTATTATTTAAAAGAGGTATTAGTATATTATTTTGGACTTACCAAAAACCTAAGCCTATTTGATAACCTATGGCATTGATGGTGTTGACAGAATTGTTTCTGAAGGTGACCATGGTTCTTAACAGGCAATTATCTCACATCATTGGTTGGTAAATTTGTCCATGTCCAACTAAATTGTTGAATATGAAGACAGCAGTTGGCTCTGTTGCTCCTAAACATTCTCTTTACTCCTTCAATGCCAAATCAGGCTGTTGGTTTCCAAGAGACAGAGAGTGATGATGGATGTCAACTGGAACACATGTAGGTTTGGAAGGATGTTATGATACGGCAATGCCCACTTGAACTTTGATGCAAAGCAGGGATTCATCCTTTGCAGTCAAGATGCTGGAGGGAGGGAGCTAAAACCTAACCCTGAGAGGCTCACTGTGAGAATTTTCATTCTTTTCAAACCAATCAATTGGATCCATCCTGACTGTATTCCAGCTACCTGGCCCATATCTATAGAGGTTGCTTAGCTACAAGTAGATTTTTATTGTGCTGGATTTGTGAATTAGCATGTCGGCATTTAAATCATACTTCTGGTTTGGATTAAAAGGCCCTCTCTCAATCTAACTTACTTTATAGTGGTATTTATGGGATAAAACTGAAAGAAGATGGATTTAGCCACATCCATATATTTCACTCTAAATATGCGGAGAAAAAAAAGATATGACACAAATGCAAATCTTAATAATAGTTACCATGTCCATTTGGAAAAAGGGATGAGAGGCATAGTGCTTGGAAATCATGTTTAACTTAGGCTTATAGGTGTTCTCCTAGCTGTCCTAACAGAACAGAAAGATATTTGGACAAAAATAAGCAAATGGCAGCCCTTCCATTTTGTTTAGTAATAATGGACTGTTTTGATATATATCTACATTTTTTTTCATAATTGTAGTGGAAAGAGAGACTGCACATACATTCTTCTTTGAGGAGCTTTAATGTGCTCCATTCCATGAGAAGTCAGACTATACAACGGACTCCAAGTTAGAAGACACAAACAAATCTTCAGTGATGTCCCTTATTCTTTTCTGGAGGGAAAAAGGTATATTCAACTGCAAGTGCCACGACAAAGGCGGCAAACCCCCATTTGAATCCTTTGGTCATTGCATCCAGGAAAGTGGCTGGTTTTGCAAAGCCACCTGAGAATCTCCATGCTTCATTGCTAGAGAAAAAAAAACAGACATAAGATGAAAAATTACACAATTTTGCAACTTTACCTTTTAGCCCACAGTTTAACGTACAATGCAGAATTTTCAATACAGAATTAAGTATCCCTAAAAATTAAAGAAGTTATTGGAATTTGATATACCCTTCTTGTATCTAGACTGACCATCACTTAGTGAAAAGGCCTCTCCAGATGTTTATTGTTTCCTGGGAAAACATGGGATGGAGTATATGCTGATATACGAGAGAGGAAGAATGGCCCCAAATAGACTTCCACCTTAGAATAAAATATATTCAAAGAATAACTATATTCCTATTTTTCCTCTAAGAACAATTATCTGTTATTTATTTAATTTATATTCCATTTTTATTATTTTTTATAAATAACTCATAGCACAAGCATACTCCCTCCTTCTATTTTCCTCCCAATAACAACCCTGTGAGGTGAGTTGGGCTGAAAGAGTGTGACTGGCCCAGTCATCTAGCCAATTTTTCATGTCTAAGGCAGGACTAGAATTCACCACCTCCCAGTTTCTAGCCTGACGTCTTCATCACTTAACCACATGTTCTCTAACACCTGGTGCTATTATTTAGAGCTTGGGGCCTCTAATCAGTATCCTCAAAGCTGTATTCACAAGCCTTCATATAATTTTCCATTACATCATGCTGTAATCACCAATCCACTTAATAGAGCTGTTTAATGAGGCAGCTGGGGGGGAGTGGAAGAACATGTTTTGAAGCTGCAGTGATTATCTTGCAATTTACTCCTTTACTAGAGATTTACTCCAAATGTTTTCAGTTGGAAATTAATTTTCACAGAACAGAGTTGCGTAAGAAATGGGATTTATGAAACCACCACTTATATAATTAGGCAATAACTAAAATTGTTATATTCAAACTACTATTACCTTCTTTCAAATGAGTACAGTTCTTCATTAGTTATGAAAATGATACAGGCAGTACATGACTTATAACCATTTGTTTAGTCATTGTTCCAAGTTACAATGGCACTGAAAAAAATGACGTATAACTGGTTCTCACGCTTACAACCGCTGCAGCAACTCTATGGTCATGTGATCAAAATTTGGGTGCGGGCAACTGGCATCTATTTATGATGGTTACACCATCGAGGTGATGTGATTGTCCTATATGACCTTCCCAGCCAGCTTCTGACAAGCAGAGACAATGCAGGAAGCCAGATTCATCGAACAACCGCACGATTCACTTAATACCTGCAGTGATTTGTTTAACCATAATGGCAAATAAGATCATAAATATTGGGCATGACTCACTTAACAACCCTCTTGCTTAGCGATGGAAATTCTGGTCCCCACTGTGGTTGTAAGTTAAGGACTATCTGTCCTGTCCTGAAAGATCATATGTGTAGGTAAAAGTATCTACACTCAAAAACAAATGCTTTTGAAGAGCACCTGGTGTCATCTGCACCTGTGTTGCATTGCATAAAGATACCAATGAAGAAAAACTATCTGAAAGCTAAAGTTCCAATTGACAAAATCTAATATTAGTATTAACAAGTACAAAAGATTGCAAAATAATGTGCAGCCAGAAAACCATTTAAAGGATAAATATCTTCTAGCAGAGCCTTAGCAACAACAAAATTTATGTTTAATTCAAATTGGATGTTATTCCAAGTATGCGCTACAATTTTAAAGAAACACTTTTTAAATTTAAGGATGCAAATTTTCTGAAGAACTGAATTGGCTTCATATAGGGCAGGCACGTCAAACTCACGACATCACGTGACATCGTGTGACATCACATGACTTTTCCCCCATTGTCGGCAATGGGGTGGACACGGTTTTGGTGTCATACATCTGGCTCACGGGCCAGGAGTTTGACATGCCTGATACAGGGAAATCAAGTTCTCTTGTGCAAGAATAGCCTCAAAAATCTTAATTATCAGCTTTTACATTTCTATTTTAAAATTTCAGAGTCAATCGACTTGGTATTTCCTAATATAGGACAAAAATGATTGGAAAACAAAGTGCTTAATGACCTATCTAGAACGGGAACTTTATTTTTTGTTTTGTCTCATAAAATGTGTTTATGAAACAAAACAAAAATAAAGTTCCCATTCTAGATAGGTGTTCCGTGGCTGACTTGAACAAATGAAGGATTACATATATGCCAACTCTTACCGAAGCCATGGATCCTTGAGACCAAGTTTAGCCAACCTTTCCTGGACATTTTGCAAGGGGGTGCCTTCTATTTTCCATTGCCTGTAATCAGGAAGCTCACCATTACCATGGCCCATAATCCTGAGAAAAGATTTGTAAAAGTAAAACTTACAAAATATATAGTGCTTGTTCATCTGGAATATTGCAAAATCAACATTGTGGAGTCCCTGATGCTCTTTCAGCTGTTTCCTTTTTCTAATTTTCTAGATGTCTTATTTTAACAGTGTTCTTACATAGTTTCTTTTGTGAGAGCTTGGGTTGTTACTTTGGTAATGGAGTACTTGTTTAGTGTGGGTTGCTTCTAATTTGCTATTTTTTTTCCTTTATTGATGGGGATAGTGTGTTGTTTCCTTCTTCCCTGTGAATACAGTTCCTGTGAAGATGATTGTTTTATGTGACTTCTCTAGTTGTTCCTTTTCATTATGATAAAGATGTCATCTACATATTAGATTCATATTTTTGGTTGAATGTGTAGAAATGCCATAATTTCTAGATGATGCATTACAGTCTCTGCTATGATTATGATGATCCCATGGATGTTCTTCTGGTTTGTTGGTATATCTGTCCATCAAAGTAGTTAGTGTGGCAGAGGCTGATGAGGTGCATGATTCTGGGAATTTTGTTCTTAAGTTTACCTGGCATATTAACACACATTCAAAAGATGTGTGTAAATGTTGTAAGCCACCCAGAGATGGGTGATAAATAAATTTAATAGATAAATGAAAATGGCAATAAAAAAGGAAAAAACAAAAAGACCACAATATATGCTCTCCACCAGCCAACACCCAGATAAGCAGGGATTAACACCAGACAAACTATCAAGCAGAAAATAATACTCTTATCAAGGAACTCCAAGGACAAAACTATACCTCCACCAACACTGGCAGAGCAAGCTACTATATATAAACAAGGAACAACCCCCACAGTCACTAGTACTGATAATAAAATGTATGCAAGCAAACAACCAAGCTCAGAGAGCACCAAGTTCAAACCTAAACTAAATATATACTCTTCTATTGAAAATCAAAATTTTCTATCATGTCCCTGCCTAACTTCCTATGACCCAGAAAAACTGCTGTGCCACATTAAAAAAATCATAATTATCTGTTGTAGTTATAACAATAAGGAATTATATCTAGCAGCATTTCAGAAAGATTGACAATTGATATATTATTTTATTTTACCCTAAGGAATAAAAGTAATGTTCTATTTGCATGCAATAATTTAATTCACTTAATAGCCTCCGAGAAGTGGCAGGCAAGGTAATGTTTCTGTTTCTATCGTTTTTGAGGCATAAGTGTTTTTATTCACATCATCTGATTAATTTGTCTGAGGTCCAACTGTCTTTTTCACTGAAAAAAAAAAGCATCAATTATATAGTTTGTTGTTTTTGGAAAATACTTTCCTCCAAAGCAATCAATCAAAATCTTGTTACAGTTACTGATCAGAATTTTATACAATTTTATGATAAGAATCACCAGACTTAAGGAGAAGTGAAATAAAAATTATTAAACAAATTCTATATTAAGATAAAACTAGCAAAATAAAAAATTTGGCACCACTACTGTAAGATTAAATATAAGAAGAATCTAAAATGGCTACTGAAACATTCACATTATAAAGGTGACTTTAAATAATTCATTGTTATATTATAAGCAATAAAGTTCAATTTTTTAGCTGAACAGAATCTTCTTCATGTGCCATTATGTAAGGAATCTTACTGTCTCAGTTTTATAGATGAAAAACCAGCATGTAGAATTAACATAGATTTTAAAAGAGCAATTTTATATGCTTGCAATGTCTTATCCTCAAAATGTGGCCTATGTCAAAACTGAGTACCATATTTTCCAGCATATAAGACGACTGGGAGTATAAGATGACCCCCAACTTTTGAGAAGATTTTCATGGTTTAGAAAGTCGTCTTATACGCCGGAAAATACGGTAGTTCAAGCAACCAGAATTTATCTCAGGAACTCTAGAAAGATTTTAAAAAATGCTTTTCATTATTTCCTCTCTTCTCTCTCTTCATAATTCCAAGATTCTGAAGGAACCGATAGATAGATATGATCTTAGGATTGCTAACTTTCAAAGATCCTGGAGCACCAAGGAACTACTACATCATTGGAAAAGGGCTGATGTAGTTCCCATCCTCAAAAAAGGGGAAAAAATGGATCTAGAAAACTACAGACCTATCAGCCTGACGTGAATACCTGGAAAGATTCTGGAAAAGATAATCAATGAATCTGTAAACACCTAGAGGCAAACAAAGTCATAACCAAAAGCCAAATGGGTTTGTCAAAAACAGATCATGCTAGACAAATCTTATTGCATTCGTTGACAATGTAACAAAATTAATAAGCCAGAGAAATACTGTGAATATAATTTACTTGGACTTCAGTAAAGTAGACCACAACCTACTATTTTATTAAAAAAAATGGATTAGACAGCATCACTACCAGATAGATTTGTAACTGGCTGACCAATCACATTCAGCATGTAGTCCCTAATGGAACTGCATCTACATGAAGGGAAGTATGAAGTGGGGAAGTATGCTCTTAGGCCCAATACTCTTCAATATCTACATCAGCGGTTCTCAACGTTTGTGTGACGGCGACCCCCGTCACACAAACGTTATGTGCATGCGCGGCGCGGCGCGCATGGGGGTGCCCCCCCGCGCGTGGCGCGCATGCCCCCCGCGTGGCGCGCATGCACGGCACGCATGCACGGCGCCGCCCCCACGCGTGGCACGCACGCGCGGCGCCCCCCCGGAGGCACGACGTCGCCCCCCATGCGTGGCGCGCATGCACGGCACCCCCCGGAGGAGTGCCAGCTCCCCACGTGCGGCGCGCATGCGCGGCAGCGCCCCCTGGAGGCGCGCTGCCGCCCCCATGCGCGGCGCGCATGCGTGGCGGCGCCCCCGGAGGGGACAAAATGGCGGATCGCCGCCTTTGGCGACCCCCGAAAAGAGGTCGATCGACCCCAAATGGGGTCGTGACCCATAGGTTGAGAACCGCTGATCTACATCAATGATTTAGACAAGGAACTCATCAAATTTGAAGACGACACCAAGCTGACAGGAATAGCCAGCACTCCAGAACATAGGCTTAAGATACAGAAAGATTTTGACAGACTTGAGCACTGGGCTCTATCTAACAAAATGAAATTCAATGGTGACAAAAGTTCTACATTTAGGCAAGAAAAAACACATGAACAGGTATAGAATAGGTGGTACCTGGCACAATAGTAGTAACTGTGAGAGGGATCTTGGAGTCCTAGTGGACAATCACTTATATATGATCCAGCAGTATGCTGCAGCTGACAAAAAAGGCAATACAGTCCTAGGCTGCATTAACAGAGGGATAGAATCAAGATCACACAGTGTTAATACCGCCTTATAATGCCTTGGTAAGACCACATTTGAAATATTGCATCCAATTTTGGTCACCATGATATGAAAAAGATGTTGAGACTCTAGAAGAAGTGCAGAGAAGAGCAACAAAGATGATTAGAGGATTGGAGGCTAAAACATATGAACAGCTGCAGAAATTGGGTATGTCTAGTTTAATGAAAAGAAGGACTAGGGTGACATGACAGCAGTATTCCAATATCCAAGGGGCTGCCACAAAGAAGATGTGGCACTTGAAAGCAGCAGCAATGGATGGAAGATAAATCTAAAACTAAAGAGAAATTTCCTGACAGAACAATTAATCAGTGGAATGACTTGCCTCAAGAAGATTTAGATGATTCAACACTGAAGGTTTTAAAGAAGAGATTGGATAACCATTTGTCTGAAATGTTATAGTTTCTCCTGTTTGAGCAAGGGGTTGGACTAGAAGACCTCCAAGTCCCTTCCAACTGTTATTCTGTTATTCTGTCTGTCACAATCTTCTTTGACACACGAGTTGTTTTTAAAGTGGCTACTGTGGAAGGAGATAGAAAACTAAACATTCCTCCCATGCCCTTTCACTAAATCACCTTTGGATCCATCTTTTCTCCATTTTTCCTCTTTTCTTATATGATAACAAATGTCATGCCACCCATTCCTCCACCATGGATGTTGAGAGCACTTGCACAGTGTTTTGTCTGGTCTCAGACTCCTGACTTGTCATCTTCAGCTATTGTTGCATCAAAATGGTTGAACCAATGTCATTGATATGCAAAGCTTATGAAGTATCACAGCAGTGCAATTTCTTCTCATCACCCAATTTTGTGATTTAAAAAAAAGCATTCCTGTAGCTTTGAATTCATTAATGGATGTTCCTGTAAGCATACTTGTTTCCAATGTCAATTAAAGTGTATATTTTCATTGCCATTTAAGAGATATTAAGTAAACAAATCCTGCATTAAAAACAGCATTTAAAACAATTCAGTAATCACTGCTACATTTGTCAATGTAAATTTATCTTAGATGCATACTTGTATACGATTTCTAAATCTTTAAAAGGCAGGCTAAATGTCAATATGTCCCGGTATAACTTTATGCCCCAGTACACGAATTACAGAGCACTATTATTTTGCCTTTCTTGCAAGGGTTAATCGTGGAGTCTTATCAATCTGTCTGATCATTCTGGAAAATAGGTTTATTAAAAGCGCAACAGGCCTATAGTAATCTATTTGCCTTCAACGATACAGTCAGTAGCTATTCAAGAAGAGAGGAAATTACTTCAAAGACATTATACCCACGACTCTCGCCTCTTAGATGAAACTTTTTTTCTAACAGAAGCAGATATTTATGGAAAGAAAAGATGGAAATTTGGGATTGAAAACAGAAAGGGACCTGCATCCAAAATAGCCCATACCTCGTATTCAGCGAGCCTTCTTCGCAATGTCAAGAAATCAAAGCGGAAACGGAAACTGGTACGGTTCGACGCCGCTAATCTACCCGGAAAAACGAATCCACTTAAGGGGGTTCCGTAGGAAAGTTCTTTCCGCCTTTTACTGACTCCGCCCCCTTCGCGGGGACTCCGACCGGCGACGCGATTCCCAGCCGGCCATAAGAGCTCTTTCCGTCCTTCCCCCTCCCCCACGTGTTTTCCCACGGGCGCGCGCAGTCGGTGGGGGGGGGGAAGGAAGCCAATGAAGGCTGTCATTGTTAGGGGCGGGCTGCTGTCCAATGGGCGGGCTCCTTCTTTCGTTGCTGTGCTTGCTGACGGGCCGGAGGCGGCTAGAGGGGGAGGGATTGAGGGTAGCGCCGGTACCAATGGTGGCGAGTGCTGCGGTGAAGAGACGCTCCTGAGTTAGCAGCGCCCGGCTTTCTGCGGTCGTGACGTTGGTAGGTAGTCGTCTCCCGCTCTCCCCGCGCTCTCGGTAGAAGGGACGGGGCAGCAGTTCCCAGGCACCTGGAACTCCGCCGCTTCTTCGCCGGACGCACTGCGAGCTGCAGTGACATCTGCCCTTTGCACCCTGGAAGCCCCCGATGGGCACTTGTCGCTTTTCCCTGGCCGGTTCGGGTTCCCCTCCTCGCCCTTCCTGCTTCCCTGATCCTCCTGAGCGGTCATTGAGCTGCCCTCCTTTTTCCTTCCACGCCAGAGCCAGCAGATTGCCACTCTCCTCTCCATCTCCTTCACGCACTCCTTGGATGTGACGAAGCTTTTCGCCCTCTTTCTTCTCCTCCTCCTCCTCCTCCTCCTCGGTCTTCTGCCAATGTTGGTTGCCTTCCTCTTTTCCGTATACGCCGGTAACAAAGTCCCGGTCCAGCTCCCGCCGATCCTGCCGCTTTTCCTCGGAGATTTCGTTTCCGGATAAATTACGACCGTCTCATAACCGTTTTCTGTTTTTAAAGTGACATTATATTTTCCTGAGAAGATGAGGCCTCTTTGCTTGTTTACAATTACAGCTTTTGCGAAGAAGTAGCAATGCACTTTTTTTCTTACTTCTCAAGGTAAAACGTAAGCCACCTTTCCAGCTACAGTTTGTTTTGATCTGGTCTGAACTCGTCCCTGAATTATTTAGTAGTCCCCGTTTCTAACCTTAAATGAGTCCCTTTAACTAACATTTCTTTCTACACTAATTGCTTCCCGGGATTTGTTGTCTTATAATTGTTATAATAAGATGAAGAATATAGTAGAATAGATATATGAATAAATGTGACAAAGAGATGTTATGTAACAGCTACAGTGCTTATACAAATATTCCTTTAGTACATTGACTCTTAAGTAAGCAAATAAACACCTACATGTAAAAACACCCTTCCCACAATATTTATTACTTCTGCTTCAATTTCAGAGATTATATAGATAAAGGAGAAAAACTATATATCCACATTACTGTATTTAGTTTCCATTAAATCTTTGGTTTGATTGGTAGACTTTAAAAATGTCAATTTCTTTTTCATGAGGAGCAGAAACTTCCATTCTATAAATCAGCAAGGGAAGTTAAGTGAATATCAGTGTTTAAGAAAGGGCATTAATTTATTATGTTTTTATGTCCTCAAGTTATTACATACAGCATTCAGAGTGTCTGCTAAGGAACATAGGATTTACAAGTCAAATTTGTAATGGCATTAAGCTGTCATGGTTATTGATGTATCTACAATATTTTGTGGATATATTATCTATAACCTTTTTGGTGGAAGCTACAAACATTTGAGTATATATATTTGCTTCCTGGTTCAGTTGAAACTAGAAAACATTGTTTATGTTATATTTGATTAATTTATATAACTCCCTGTATCCCTGTATCACATATGTGATTCTGGGTAACTTATAGAGCTAAACACACACACATATAGAGAGAGATAATCAAAATCATAACAAAAGACTGTTAAAATGATTTTAAAAAGAATAGTGTGGGGGATGTTTTGCAGTCCTGATGTTTTGCAGATTCTACATCACCATTACCAGATCCTCCTGCCAAATAGCAAATCATGTCTTCAGGTCCTTTCAGAAGGCCAGTAAATTTGGGATCAGTCTGACTTAAGGTGACTAATCCATATGTTTATGCATCTTGTTGAAAATTAGATTAATAATTAGTTATACGAGAAAAAATTTTCTCCCATCATTTTTGTGTTAAAATGTACAGAAGAATTTCAATTATGTCATTTTAATAAATTCTTAGAAATGGGAGGTTTATGATAATTAGAGATTAAAGAAAGAATAGTAAAACAGCAAGATTAAATAATACCATTTAGTTTTATTTTATTTTTTTCATATTTGATTGCTTGTTTAAAATAAGATTTGACAGATGGTTTACCTTTTCATTTCCTGGGATACGGCAACAAGATGAGAGTAAAATTGTTTTTACTCTCCAGATTTCCTTTCACATAAGATGAAAAGCCAATCAGTAGTATTTTCATGGACAAAAGGGGAGTTTCAGATATAAAATATTTCATTGAGCTTATTTATCTGTCGTATATATGGTGTTAGAGATACAGTTTAATGTTATGTTACATGTACGTACTATTTGCCCCCATTTCAGAAAAACCTTAGTTCTGCTTGGTAATAACTGATTTTAAGAGTTCTATTATTTAGTGTTTATTTTGATTTTAGTACTTCATCAATGGAAGATAGAACTATTATACAAGTTGGACTTGGGGAATGCAAATTATTTTTATTTCTTGAAATTGGACTGTTATGGTAATTAAGATATTGTACATCAGTTTGATTTGTCTCTGGACTCTAGTAAGATTGAGCAAAAGTATAGTTTTCTTAGCATGATAATCCTAAAGGACACATTATTTTTTTTACAAAGAAGATTTTACTATAAATCCCACTTGAATTTGTTTAAGTATACAGGTTTTAAGTGGAAAAGAAGCTACAATTCACTGACATTTTGACTTATTTTTTTACATGTAAAGTCATATCATAGGCGTTTTAGCTCCTTGCCTCTTTCCTGAGAACAATGCTTCAGACAAATGGACCTTGCATCTTCTAAAAACATTGTAAATAATGGACAGTATTAGATAAAAAAAGTAATGATAAATATAGAAAGCTGGCTGTGTGAGTCAGTCACTCTCTCTTAGCCCAGTCCACCTCACAGGGTGGTTGTTCTGGGAAAAATAGGCAGGAATATTACTGTAGGTATGTTTCCTGCCAAAAATATATTTTAAAGGAGGGATTAAAATATAACAACAACAACATCAACAATACTGGCAGAGTTTAAGTGCCTTGAAATGCTGTTTCTCTTCTAATATTTTCCTTTGTTTTTGTATTCCAAATTATTTTTGCTAATAATGCTATCAAAATTAAGTGTTATAAAGAAGTATCTACTGTGATAGATGAGCAGCTTGCTGGGTAGGTGACTGTGCCTTATAAGCTAGTGCATAACCTCTGCTAGACCTGTCTTTTGCCTGTCCATATTTCGGTAGCAGATGGGGGTTAGCATGTAAAAATTAGCATGGCGTATGCATTGAGAAGCTTGGATATAGGGGAAAATACATAAAACATAGTTGTACATGTTTAGTTGCATGTATCCTTTTGGATTATGAACTTTAGTCTAAAAACAATGAACTCTGTGTGCCCAAAGAGGCTTTAAACTTACTTGTCCTCAGATACTGCATATCACAAGATAATTTGTGAAATTCCTTCCAAGCCTGCAAATTAGATTGACTCTGTTCCATATGCATAGTTGAAGCAGAATGTTTCGTAACATGCTTTCTGCTCTTACGCCATGTGCTCACCATTTTAGTGTTCATATTTGTATATAAGGCCTTCTTGAAGAACAGAATTCATATTTAAACATTTTAATGATGAAAAGTCTGAATATCTTTGAAGATTAACTGTTATAGTTTCCAAAGACCTGCTAATAAGGGAACATTTTAGAGGAGAACAGTTTTATTTGTGTTATTATAACAGAATTGGAAGGGACTTTGAAGATCCTCTAGTCCAATCCCATGCTCAAGCAAGAGACTTTATACCAGGGGTCGCCAACCCCCCCGTCTGCGGACCAGTCCCAGGCTGCGGCATGCCAGCAACCAAACAAAGCCCCATCGTGAGATGCAGACAGCACACAAAGCCATACTCCCTCTGGTCCACATAAAAAAAACCTCTCCACGGAACCGGTCCCTAGGGCCGAAAAGGTTGGGGACTTTTGCTCTATACCATTTCAGACAGGTGGCTGGCCAGTCTCTTCTTAAAAGTCTCCAGTGATGGAGCACCCACAACTTTTGACAGCAAGCTATTCCACTGGTTGATTGTTCTCACTGTCAAGGAAATTTCTCCTTAGTTCTAGTTTGGATCTCTCTTTGACTAATTTCCATTCATTGTTTCTTTTCTTGCCTTTTGGTGCTTTGGAAAATAGGTTGACCCCCTCTTCTTTGTAGCAGCCCTTCAGATATTAGAACACTGCTATCATGTCACCTGGTCCTATTTTTCAATAAACTAGCCATACCCAATTCCTGCAACCGTTCTTCATATATTTTAGTCTTCAGGCCCCTAATAATCTTTGTTGCTCTTCTCTGCACTTTTTCCAAAGTCTCAACATCTTTTTTATAATGTGGTGACCAAAACTGGATGCAATTTGATTCTGCATAAAACCAACATAGAAAGGTTATAAATCTTCCTATGTTAGTTTTCAGTACTCCGCCTGATATCTAGTTCAACATATTGGCAGGTAATAGGCTAGATAAAAGTCCTCAAAATATCTGATAGAATTTATTTTGTTAAATCATATGCCTTTCTGAAAACGTACCTTTTACAGTATTGTTCTGCAAATGTATTAGTAAAACAGTTTTTGTTAGAAAGAAACACTGCAGTGTATGGATAAGAAAGTAACTATCTTATGCACATGGAGTAATTGAGGATACTCTTAAACTGCCATCTAGTTATAAATACAATGAGAGCGTATGTCCCGATAGAGCCCAATGTTGTATAATAGTCGTCTGGGAGGTGGCTCAATGTCCAAAAGACAAACAAACTCAATTGGAATTCTAAGAACAAAGTTTTATTTGAACAAAGCTTTTGCAAAAGCTGGTGGACTTAACTCAAACAGGAGAAAAAGCCACACCCACAATT